CTTTGCTATATTTCTAGGCAAGGCAGTCCTGGGTAGATTACTTACAAATGGCTTACAAATCAGTTGGGTTTTAGACACCACACCCCTCCACGAAATCCTAAAGGACCTACCTGAGAGGTAAGACTTGAACCATTGGAGTGCGGTTCCCGAGATGCCCTTCATCTTTAGGATTGACAGGAGAATCTGGTGGTTAACTGTGTCAAAGGCAGCAGACAGATCCAGCAGGATGAGAACTGAGGATTTGGAAGCTGCTCTTGCCAGTCTCAGAGCTTCAATTACTGAGAGCAGGGCAGTCTCACAGTTGTCATCGTTTACACACAACAATTGTTCACACTTATTTCAAATGATGTCATCAAACCAACTGTATGAAATATAACAAGAGACAACTTTGCCCGTGATGTGGACAGACATGATGCTGAAGCAGAATCAATCTCCCATTGATCTTGATTATGTAGTTGCACAACTTAAAGTATTTGAGTGTAACATAACATGCTTTTCATTTAGAGTTTTATTGGACCTTTTTGGCTTTTGCAGTTGGACTGAAGTATTTTTTACAGCATGCAAGTGCTGAATACTATACAATACTATACTTGCAGTGAATAAAGTATACAATATATTCACCTTACTCAGTTGCAATTACTATTATTTTTTTATGTAATTGCAATTTTTTTTTTTACTGTATACAATATAATTTTAACGTTCAGGATGCTGTGTTCTCCATTTCTTGATGAATTGTCTAATGAATTATCTGTAGTGCTTATATTATTGACTCATGTGTAAGAAATAGTCTGCCTCGATCAAGATTCCTCACCAAAGTATATTTTAGAATGAGTTCATCCCCAAAATGGCTAAATTATCATAGAGATGAATAAAATCAACAGTTATATTGTTTCTGCACCATTTGGGTTGATCACATCCTGAGCAAATGGTCATCAATTGTTGAATGGAATGGGTGTGGGACACAGAGAACCACCTCAGACAATGGAGTGTCTCAACTTCATTAACATACAGACCACAGCTGTTACAACAAGAGCAACTTCATTTACATTAAGAGTGGTAAACTGTAACAGGATAAAAGGTTTGGTATTTGGATGTTCTAGGTTCATTCTGACACCGCTAAACCCAAGGTCCTTCATGTACTTTGTCACTGCTATGCTGTAATAAACTTCATCTTTGAGATCTTCAACATCCACATCATTTTTTCTTACACGTGTGTGTATGATCTAAAAGCATTGTTTGATTTTGAGTACAGGCCGGGGAAATAGTTTTGAAGCAATTGTTTGACTTTGCCAGAAGAGTCAATGGTTTTGTGAGTGTAGTTTTGAAAATTTGGATTTGTGTTTAATCAAGCCTGCCATCTATCTATCTATCTATCTATCTATCTATCTATCTATCTATCTATCTATCTATCTATCTATCTATCTATCTATCTATCTATCTATCTATCTATCTATATATTTCTGAAACATGCTAGCAATGTGATGACACATACTAGCAACAGCATAGCAACACCCTAGCAACCACCCCAAGTACCCTAACAACCACAAAGCAACACCCTAGCGACCACCCCAAATACCCTAGCAACCACATAGCAACACTAGTAACCAGAATACCATAGCAACACCCTAGCACCCCGAATTCCATAGCAACCACCCTGAGTACCTAAGCAACTGCACAGCAACACCCTAGCAACCACTGCGAGCACCTTAGCAACCACATAGCAACATCCTAGCAACCACCCCAAGTACCCTAGCAACCACATAGCAACCACCCTGCGTATCTTAGCAACCACATAGCAATACCCTAGCAACCACCCAGAGTACCTTAGCAACCGCATAGCACCACCCTACCAACCACCCCAAGTACCCTAGCAACCACATAGCAACACCCTAGCAACCACCCCAAGTACCCTAACAACCACAAAGCAACACCCTAGCGACCACCCCAAATACCCTAGCAACCACATAGCAACCACCCTGCGTATCTTAGCAACCACATAGCAATACCCTAGCAACCACCCAGAGTACCTTAGCAACCGCATAGCACCACCCTACCAACCACCCCAAGTACCCTAGCAACCACATAGCAACACTAGTAACCAGAATACCATAGCAACACCCTAGCACCCTGAATTCCATAGCAACCACCCTGAGTACCTAAGCAACTGCACAGCAACACCCTAGCAACCACTGCGAGCACCTTAACAACCACATAGCAACATCCTAGCAACCACCCTGTGTACCTTAGGAACCGCAAAGCAACCAACCCGAATACCCTAGCAACCGCATAGCAACCACCCTGCGTATCTTAGCAACCACATAGCAATACCCTAGCAACCAGCCCAAGTACCCTAGCAACCACCTGGAGTACCCCCTAGCAACCACCCAGAGTACCTTAGCAACCGCATAGTACCACACTACCAACCACCCCGAGTACCCTAGCAACCACATAGCAACACCCTAGCAATCACCCCAAATACTTTAGAAACCGCATAACAACACCCTAGCAACAACCCCAAATACCTTAGCAATCGCATAACAACACCCTATCTATCTAATATTTTTAATAAATTTTTCTGTATATCTGTCTGTCAAAAATTCAAACTTTTAAAATTACTAAACTAAAACTTTAAACTATTTCAAACTTAAAACCTGTAAACTTAAAGCTGTTAAAACTTCTTCAAACTTTCAGGTCTAGCTTTCTCAAGCCAACTCTGTCAGGGGTTTCCTCTGACAGTCCTGTCTTTGTTCAATGTGTCTTTGTTTGTGTTGTGCTTGAGCACATGGCTCTGTCTTTGTTTGTGTTGTGCTTGAGCACATGGCTCTGTCTTTGTTTGTGTTGGCCATGTGCTCCTCTGTTCCTGCCTCCTTGTTTTCAATTACCACGCCCTCTTGTTTAGTTGTTGATGAGTCCCCCTTTATAATGTGTTCTGTTTCCCTCATGTTTTGCCAGTTCGTTGTAATTGAGTGTGTTGTGCGACCTGTTACTTATTGCCCATTGTTCCAGTTGTGGATTTCGTTGTATGTTGTTCCTGTCTATGTTTCCTGTTGTGTGAGTCAAGTCAGTCAAGTCAGTCTTGTGCTTCATTCCTTGCCTTCTGTTGGATCGTGTTCACCTCCTTCACCACCATCTCTTGTCCTGCCTGCTGTGTGTCTCAAACAGTTTAAACTCATTCTGCGCTTGAGTCCTCTCTCACTGTTCCATGACAGAACGAACTGGCCAACATTGGACTCAGCAGAATGATAATCAGAATCCTGCCACCTGCTAACATTCGGGAGAGACAGGCCCGTCGTCATGGGCTTGAATGTGGGAGCTTTTGCAGTTTATTATTTGGACCATGGCTGTGGGGCTAGATTATAATTATGCTGCTCTTAAGGACATCTTTAACGCCTGCTTAGATGAACCCCTGCCTGCATGGGAGATCGATGCTCTCATGATTCTGAATTTCTGGGGTTTCTCCAGGTACCTTGGCCATCGCAGTCATTGGAGAATGCCAAGTCGACCAGAATCTGCCTGCAGCAATCACCCCTCCACTTCTGTTATGCAAGAGCCAGTCAAGTCATCCTCTGTCTTCTTTCAGCCAGTCAAGTCAGTTCCAGCCACGCCGCCCGGAGGCTTCAGCCACCATGCCTGTCACCAGATCGGTCTCAGGGCGGGGAAGACTAATATCCAGCATGGCCGATCCACCGCTGATGTCAGCGCGTACAGCCAGCAATCCAAGGCCAGCACTCTCAAGCCTGCTGGCAGCATCGCCCTCAAGCCCGCCAACCTCAGCACAGCCTGTTCCAGAAAGAAGAAATCCCCAGTCTGTTCCAGCCACCCCAGAGTCAGCGGAGAGTGCTGCAGGTACTACAGAGACGGTCAAGCACACAGTATTGACCCTTCGAAAGCGGAGGAAAAGAAAGGCCTGTGCTGTGCAGTCCAATTCCCCACCTTCTCAAGTTCCAAGTCCAATGGTTCCCGAAGCTTCTAGTCCAGTGAAATTATCTTCTAAGCCGCTTGATGTTCCTGTCAAGTCAGATATAGGTGTACTAGTCAGGCCATTCCCAAGTTGCCCAGTTGTCATTGCTGCGGAGTAGAGGTCTTCACGGGTCCACTTGGATCCGAAAACCCGAGGTCCGACCCGAGACCCGAGCGGGTTCGGGTCCAAAACTCCGACGAGTGTCTCGGACACAGGTTGGGTTCGGTATTAGTGGCCTCGGGTTTTGGGTAATTTAAAATAAATATGCCTTTTCCAAATGGACCCGAGAAGACCCGAATTCTTTTAAACTATGTTGGGCATTTAACAAAATTGCAGTATTTAAAACAACTCTATGACACCGTTCTCTCACTTTTTCTAAGTGAGAGAGCGAATCCGCGCTTCTATATGCACATGGGCTATAAGCATAAGCACGGTTGCCTCCGCATTTATTTACTCAGTTGCTCGCTCGACATAAACCAACCCCTCCCTTTGCCAAGAAGAACTAGTGCGCCATCATGTTGTCGTTAAGCCGGGCCTGTCAATCAATTTTAAAAATACGCGACACTGTCAGAAAAGCATGGAGGCGATAACAGACATTGCGAAAAATGTCAGGGAAAACGAATGGTGGTTCTAATCATCGTATGGTCCGGTAAATAACATTATGCCAAATTTTATGGGACGTAATGGGTTACAGTGATGATTGACATTTTAGCACTTCAGCGCGCTTACACTTGCGCCTCTATGTTAAGTGCATTTTTGAGAAACGCAGGGCTGCAGGCTGTGCACAATGTAAATGCCGTTTACGTTCGGGTCCAGTCGGATTCTAAAGGAAATGGCGTCAGGTCGGGTCGGACTCGGGTCTAATTTTATCGGGTCTGTCTCGGGTCGGGTTTTTCGTAAAAAAAAAAAATGTATGCACGTCGGGTTTGGGTAAGTAGTGATTCGGGTCGATTCGGGTCGGGTACAGTTTTTAGGAGCCTTCTCTGAATGTCTTGTAGGTCTTGTCAAGTCCACAGAAATTGTTCCTGCCAAACCTGTCATGGCCACAGAGTGTGAAAATCCTGAAAGTAAATTTCCAGAGCCCGCTCCTGAGAAAGCAGTTCCTGAGCACGCTTCAGAGGAAGCTATTCCCGAGCCCGCTTCAGAGGAAGCTGTTCCCGAAACCGCTCCTGAGAGAGCAGTTCCTGAGCACGCTCCTGAGAGAGCAGTTCCTGAGCCCGCTTCAGAGGAAGCTGTTCCCGAGTCTGCTGGAGAGAGAGCAGTTGCAGTGTCGGCTCCAGCCCCTGTGGACATATCTGAATCAATGTTTAAGCCTAATCCTGCTACCCTAGAGGCCACCCCAGACTCTGTCTCTGAACCTAGTTCCAAAACCTTCACCTTTCCTGCCAGTTCAGTCATCGCCCCTGAATCTGTCAAGCCCAATTGGAAGTCCAAACCATTTTGGCTCGTTCCTGTACCTAAGGGTGCCTTTAAAATAATAGTAGATAATAGTTTAAAAGGGTGCCTCAAGTTCCCATCCCACCCTCTATGTGTCCTGCTAATGGCTTCCCTAAGCCGGCACCTCCCTGGTCTACCTTGAAGTTTTTGCCTGGTTCTGTTCCCACCTGCTTCATCACTCCCTCTGTGTTTCCTGGCCAGTTTGGGACTTCCATGTTAACACCCCACCCTCATGTTTTGCCAGTCTGTGTGTGCGATTACACAAACCTGGAAGACCTTCTGAATGTAGATAAGCAGTAGACTTTCAAAGAAAGAAACATTTAAAATATAACAAAGAAGTAGAATCAATGAATAATGAATAATTTACTGCCATTGTGAGAATAACGTGTAATCAATAGAACATTAACTGTAGTCTGATTATGAGTATTTTAAAATGCAACAATCTAATTACTAAAGTACTTACTTTTTGGAATCTGATTATGTAATGCAGATTACATTTAATCAGTTACTATCCAGCACTGTTTACAGGCTATAGCAAACTGTAATAATCACATTTTGTTTTATATTATTCTACATTACTATAATAAATGTATTTAGTGTTAATCACACTGTGTTCGTTTGTTGGCCAGAGTAGAACTGCCCTCTCTACTAAACCTGGTTTCTCCCAGTTTTTTCTCCCAGAAAAAAAGTTTTTTTTTCTTCATTTCTGTCACCTGATGGAGTTTGGGTTCCTTGCCACTGTCACCTCTGGCTTGCTTAGTTAAGGAATATATTCAGCAATGTTACTGATTTGACTACACTGACACTATTGGATGAGAACTCAACTTAACTGGATGATGACATCACTGCTGTCTGCAGAGCTGCTTTATAGCTAAATTGAACTCATTTCACAATTTATGTACTGAAATTAATCAACACTGAACTGATTTCAACTGAATAATCAGTGTTTACTATTGTCTTTTTAAAGCTGCTTTACAGCAGAATTTAATTCTGTTTGCATCACTGAATCACTATTTTCCTGTTTATCACTGTAAAGCTGCTTAGAAGCAATCTGTATAGAGGGTATGCATCGTCAACATCGGCCAGAGTGACTGCGGTTACGCCCACTGAGTGGCAAAAAGACTGAGCGGCAGCGTTTGTTTTCAGCGTGAATGCCGCGAAAAACACACAAAACACATCTAAAACGGTAAAGAGCTTTGAGATTGACTGTGCAAGATTAGACAAGAAATCTGAGGTATATTTTTACTGAGTGCCGAAAGCTACAGAAAAGAGAAGCAAATGGATCGCTGCAGTTCATAGACACAACTGGACTCCAGGCAGCAAATGGGGGATTTGCAATTATCATTTTGTGTCAATATGCTGTATTTAGGGGTAAAATCATATCCTATATTATATTGTTATATATTGTAACAACTCATCAATTAAATATTGACCATCGTATATTCTGCATAACTGGACGTTTTTAAATAAACATTGACAAAAAACGATACATTTTAAGGCTGGACGATAAGACGATACAACATTTATATAAGTGATCACATGGATTTAGACCTATATTGCATTTATATAAAGCGCTCACAGGCAAATTTGCTTTATGTATTATCCCGCTGTCGAAGTCAGGCACATGTAAGCATGGAAACACGATTCCTGGCTGTATGTCAATATCCATGGATCACTGAATCTGTGGGAAGTTGTAAGGAACACTATATCGAGTCCAACCTTTAGTTTAAACTGATAATCGATTTTTTTACTCACGTTTTCGCAGTTTCCCCTATTAAATCCAGTCATGCAGCAGCTCTTTTGCCACTCAGTCCGGCTGAGGGGGCGTGTTCAGGCGGGAAAGTGACGTCAATGCATACTCTATAAAGTGCTATATACACTCACATAAAGGATTATTAGGAACACCTATTCAATTTCTCATTAATGCAATTATCTAATCAACCAATCACATGGCAGTTGCTTCAATACATTTAGGGGTGTGGTCCTGGTCAAGGCAATCTCCTTAACTCCAAACTGAATGTCAGAATGGGAAAGAAAGGTGATTTAAGCAATTTTGAGCGTGGCATGGTTGTTGGTGCCAGACGGGCCGGTCTGAGTATTTCACAATCTGCTCAGTTACTGGGATTTTCACGCACAACCATTTCTAGGGTTTACAAAGAATGGTGTGAAAAAGGAAAAACATCCAGTATGCGGCAGTCCTGTGGGCGAAAATGCCATGTTGATGCTAGAGGTCAGAGGAGAATGGGCCGACTGATTCAAGCTGATAGAAGAGCAACTTTGACTGAAATAACCGCTCGTTACAACCGAGGTATGCAGCAAAGCATTTGTGAAGCCACAACACGCACAACCTTGAGGCGGATGGGCTACAACAGCAGAAGACCTCACCGGGTACCACTCATCTCCACTACAAATAGGAAAAATAGGCTACAATTTGCAAGAGCTCACCAAAATTGGACAGTTGAAGACTGGAAAAATGTTGCCTGGTCTGATGAGTCTCGATTTCTGTTGAGACATTCAGATGGTAGAGTCAGAATTTGGCGTAAACAGAATGAGAACATGGATCCATCATGCCTTGTTACCACTGTGCAGGCTGGTGGTGGTGGTGTAATGGTGCGGGGGATGTTTTCTTGGCACACTTTAGGCCCCTTAGTGCCAATTGGGCATCGTTTAAATGCCACGGCCTACCTGAGCATTGTTTCTGACCATGTCCATCCCTTTATGGCCACCATGTACCCATCCTCTGATGGCTACTTCCAGCAGGATAATGCACCATGTCACAAATCTCGAATCATTTCAAATTGGTTTCTTGAACATGACAATGAGTTCACTGTACTAAAATGGCCCCCACAGTCACCAGATCTCAACCCAATAGAGCATCTTTGGGATGTGGTGGAACGGGAGCTTCGTGCCCTGGATGTGCATCCCACAAATCTCCATCAACTGCAAGATGCTATCCTATCAATATGGGCCAACATTTCTAAAGGATGCTTTCAGCACCTTGTTGAATCAATGCCACGTAGAATTAAGGCAGTTCTGAAGGCGAAAGGGGGTCAAACATAGTATTAGTATGGTGTTCCTAATAATCCTTTAGGTGAGTGTATATAAAGGTGACTTGACTTGACTTTTGCCTGAAAAGAGCAAGACTTAGGAAATTTGCTGCTCCATTCATATAAATCAGGACATAAAACTGATATTTTGACTTGTCTCATATGGACTGCATTTTACTTGCCCAACTTCATCAGCTTATTTTCTAAAATTTTACACTGTTCAATGAAAGTCAAGAAACATGATGATTGAATGCAGATGAATTATAGCTCACATGCTTCCTGTTTTGTAAGACTTACAGTATTTCAATGTGCCACTATAGGGGGGTGCTTTGCTAAATGTGAATCAAAGTGCACATGACAGCTGTCAAGTCTACAGTGAAGATCTGTATTCGGGAGAAGTGAGATTGGAATAAAGAGTAAGTTATATAGTACTGCTGCACTGATGATGTATTTTTGTATGTTTATCATCACCCTGGTTCCCTCGACAAAAACCAAGTATTATTTTTCAATTGGCTTTTGGATTATTGCAGAAAATAAGCTCTGTGATCAACAAAAGTTTATGATTATTACATGTTTTGTTTTGTTCATCATGGTAATTTTCAAATATGAACACAACTTATGAATTTTGAAGCCTAAATACAATGAAAAGTAAAAAGCGAAACATATATGAACACGGTCGCATGAATTTAACTTCATCCCTAAGCTTCCAATAACATTTTCAGTCTTCATTTAACATTTCCCCTGAAAGTTTGCGTTAATAGTTTGCAAGAGCGTGATTATAAACACAATCAGGCTGTGAAAGTGGAATAGCGAGTAGATGAATTTACCTGTTCAATGTGACAATGTTTCTTGTCCCAGCCAAGTAGTCCCATAGACAACTGTTAGCAACTGTCTTTTTCAATTCATGTAAAATCAGGGGTATATAATGAATCATATAGAACAAAAAATGAAAATATCTTGAGGTTGTTAACAAAAAAACAACAAAAAAACGTACTTTGTAATGACGGAGCCTGCAGTGCTAAAATACTAACTTGTTTCATGGGTTTTGGCCAACAAAATGTTGCCATCCCTGCAGCATTCTATACAGATATTGGGTTAACCTTATAGGCCACGTTCTGTTTTTCTGACTGTTCCAAAATTTAGATTTTTCTCAATTGTGATACGACTTACTTAAACTCTTTCAAATCCCAACTAAAAATAGTATTTTATTTTTATGTTTGCTTTGTAATTATTTCTTGTTTGCATAAAATGTACTATTACATTTTAAGTAAATGTAAAACAAGAGAACCATGGAAAAAGGGGATGTACTGTATTATGATCTCTAATGCACCACTTATTATGCACCCATTTTAAATGGGATGTTGTTTCTGCGAGCATACCACAATTAACACACTGGATGAGTCACTGTGGCTCTTTTAATTTGCATAACATTTATGTTTTATTGACTTGCTGTACTGCACAGATATAACATAAGTAATTTCAACTCATGGATGAAGTTGACTTGCTAATCTTAGGTTTCACAAGTCAATGAGAACATTAAAACAAGAGTAGGCCTAAATGCAAAAACTCAAATCCACTCAACTCAAATTACCATATTCTGAGTTAGCGACTGACAATTAGGCTACACATGCTGCTAACAACAATACAGTGTCGATATACAGCGTAGCACATTCTAGCCACAATTAAAAATCCAAAATATAACTTTAAACTATAAGTGTCTGATAATAGCAAAATAGATATAGACCTGGAATTAGTATCTACATTTAAAGGAGCTGTATGTAAGAAATTTATTTCAATTAATCATAAAATGGCCCTGAAATGTCAATAGACATTAAGAAATCATGTACATTTCAAATACTTATATCACTGACAACAGTAGTCTGGCCAGGATATTGTCATTTAAAAAGTGCAGTTGCAGCCCTCAACTGATGTTGATGTTGTCATGTTGTGTTTTGGTCTGATGCTCCACCCTCCACCTATCTACCAATCACGAAGTCAGTAGTGTTGCGGCATCAGGGTTGCCAGCTCTGCTGTAGTTACCTCAGCTGCAGCTCGTCACGTTCCTGCTGGATCCTGCAGCCGATCTGGCAACCTCGAGTCAGGGAGGAGGGGGAGGGGATACACCACTCTACAGCAATTTGACAGTGATTGCAGTACTAGTTTTGGCCACAATATTACATACAGCTCCTTTAAGAATCTGCAGGATTTTAACTGGCTTTTATTTTTGTCCAAGTAGCCTAGTGTTTTTTTATATTAATTTTTTTACTTTATAGCCTGTTTGTTTACTAACTGGTGGCGCTTCACGTCTGAATTGCTATTGTTTTATTTATTTATTTTTTCAAAAGTGAAACTAATTTCTTTATGGTAAAACTTTAATTAGCAAACAATTACTGAGTGCACATTAACAGATAGGCCTACTACAGCCTATAAACCAGATCCATGTGTCATCCCACCAAACATAAATTATTAACTGAAGTCAATTGTGCAAGACATTTCATTATTCAGAGATGCACAATTATCCTAATTCAGTCATTCCAATCGAATAGCCAATTGCACGAGAGAAGGTCATCTTATCTCCTCGTGCAGCCCTTCACGAACTGTAAACACATTCTTATCACGCGTATTCTACATTCAGCCGGTCACAAAGTTCACTAGCCTATTTTCGCATATTTATTTAAAACTAAAAATAAGTAACATCGGTAGGTTCGATTATTGTTTTGAAACAGTGTATTCCAGCGTGCTCTAACTAAGTAAAAAGCGGAGCTGAGGTTAAGGAACCGCCCTAAAGCCGGTACTGTAACGTGATCAACACGCGGCTGTGAATCTTGTGCTCGCTCTCGCTCATTCGCACTGCAGACTGTCGCCCAGGCTTTCCTGATCTAACCGAGGACCTACTCTTAAAATTCCCGTTAGGCCCCAAGGGCAAACAGTCATAAATACACCATCTACTGCCAATATTTAATACCATTTCGGACTTTTAACATGTGGAAGAAGCTCTCGACATGGACGCTTCTAGCGGTCTTTTCTCTGCTGATAGTGAAAGGTAAGCGCTGCGCCCCTCTTTGTTGAACCCGGTGCCATGCCTACTTCATCAGTTTTTGTCGGCGGTCGGCGCCGTAGGCAAGCATTGATTTAAAGCATTTAGACTTTGACTTTTATGTAGACTATGCGTTTATTTAAAGCACTGGTGCATGAATCACATAAATCACCGTCTTATGAGTTGCGTTTTAACATCTGTCTGGGTCTCGATCATCTGTCTGGGTCTAACGTTAGCCATTGCTACGGCGCTGCATGACATGTTGAGGCTCAACAAATCATTTTCAGCAGTATACAAAAAAATAAAATGTATGTTTTTGATTACTTTGTGGTTTATTGCGTGGTGGGACCTTTTGAATCTATGCGTTAAGCATATTAATGATTATATTAAAAGTGCAGCTAACGTTAATTAATATCAATCTCTTGTATGTCATTTTTGTTTCACCTTGCGCAAAGATGTAGCTAGTTAGGAAAATTTTAGTTATTACTATTAATAGATTTTGTTCATTATTAAATTATGTAGGCTATTTCACATATTTAAACATCAATCAATCAGGTGTCTTTTGATTATGTTTCGCGTATTTCATGAAGTAACATCGTAATTTTTTTAAATGTATCAGTAAATACTGTGCCATAATTTGTAATATTGTTACAATTTATAGTGTTCTGTACCCCTCGTTTAATAGGAAATGAAATGTTAAATGTATCTTTTGTAAAGACATTAATAATATTTATTTTATTTTATCTAGGGTGAAAAAAAACCCCAATACTGTTCAGTACTGCCTAAAATGAAAATATATTCAGAGGACAATGTCATTTTCACATAGTCTCCTCATCCTATAGCACACAGGTACTTTGGGAGGCTTAGAGTCAGAGCGCATGCGCATACGAAGCCACAATGCGCCCAGGTACAGGATAGGAGTTTGGAATTTTTTGGAGACTGCGGAAGATAGGAAGATACCATCATTTTATACAGGGGGTAACGGTCCCCTCTGTTAATATGAGACACACGAGTTTAATGTCAAAGATTCCAAGCTTGTTTAAGCAAAACCATGTTGGACTATGAAAGGAATAGGCTATAGCATCTTTTTCTGAGAAAGACTACTTTGAATATTGTTTAGAAGCACAGATGATGTGCATTCCATGCTCTGTTTGGTAAAATACCCCTTATCTAAAGCCATCAGTGAAATGAATGAGGAAAGCCACAGTCTGCAGTTCTGGCAGAAGTAAACGGCCCCTCCCTCTTTTTCTGTCAGCCACACCCCTCTGTTGTATGGAATTAGATACATTTCCACTCCCTACCTGAAAACCATTGTTTATTTATGAGCATATAGTTTTACCACTGTTTTAGGTGTTAGGTTCATGTTTAGATTTTTTTTAAATTCCAATATATTTGTCAATTATCTATCATCACCAGACTATCTGAATTAAACCCCAAAATAAATATATATATATTTATATTAAGTATATAATAATAAACTTATACAGTTTATTAAAATATTATAAATTATAAAGTATATTATAAACTAATATACTGTATTTAAACCCACAGGTATCAGTCGTGAATGGGAAAAAAACATTTGATAGATTAACTGCTGTCACATGACATATTGATCACATAACAGTGTGCCAATGCTGAGCTGGCTTTGGCACTGCTGCATGCGGGATAGCTTTTAGCTTTTAGTTATACCAAGTGTGCACTAAGACAACCTATAATTGAGCAAGAAAGCCGAAAAAAAAACCCAGAAGAGGCAGACAGAAAGAAGTAGAGACAATTGGATAGATATAGATATAGAAACAGAGAAGGATAAGACTGACCCCAGTGGAGTGTTGCACCACATTATCTGTGACCCAGTGCTAAAAGTATATGGTAGACATTCATTTCATTAGACATGGAGAGTTAAGAGAGGCTTATTTCAGAAGAAACTATTTTAGAAATATATACTAGCAAAAATAACACATGGGGAAGGAATCTTTGCAGAAATGTCATTGTTGTGTAGTAGGCCTACGTGAACACAAAAGATCCTTTGTCCCTTTGTACTTGAAGAATGCATTGGTGAGCTGTCATTTTCTTGTCTTTGTTAAAATCCAGTAATGTGACGGAACTACTGTGGAAATTGTATCAAAAAGAGTCTTTGGTCACACTTTAGATTAGGGTCCAATTCTCACTATTAAAGGTGCATTGTGATATATTATTTAGGAGGATCTGTTGACAGAAATGCAATATCCTATACATAACTATGTTTTCAGTGGTGTATAAAGACCTTACTTAATGAACCGTTATATTTTTATTACTTTAGAATGAGCAGTTTATAAAGTTTATAGAATGAGCAGTTTACAAAGTCAGCGAATAAAACACTGACACAATTGATGAACAAGTAACAATAACATATCGTTTTACTGAAAAAATTAAGTAAACATTTCTTAATTTATCTTTGTGAAGAAACCTCATTGCTGAACTGGCTACTCTCTGCTGTCTCAGACGAAGACAACTCCTGTCGGCCACCGTAACTTTTGTTGGTTGCAATTCATAACTTCACCACTGGATACCGCTAAAAATCACACACTGCACCTTTAACTAACTATTAACTATGAATTTCGCCTCAATAAACTCCTAATTACTGCTTATTAATAGTTAGTAAGGTAGTTGTTAAGTTTAGGTATTGGGTAGGATTAAGAGATGTCGAATATGGTCATACAGAATAAGGCATTAATATGTGCTTTATAAGTACTAATATCCTAGTAATGTGCATGCTAATAAGCAACTAGTTAATAAATAGTGAGAACTAGACCCTAAACTAAAGTGTTACCGAGTCTTTAATAAACCAGTGGACACCAGATCAAGTTTTAATATCAGATCCAGTTTTTAACATCAGATCCAGTTTTAGCATTAGCCTCCATCTATCATCTGATATTTTATTACAGGACCTTATACTGCCAGTATTGCTGGCAAATAAGAATATTACAGGGCTTGGATGATCTGGGGACACAAAATTATGCATTTTTATTAATTTTATGTGCATTTGTAGTGTGTGTGCAGGCATGATTTACATAAATACAAATTGCATGCTTGTTCATGATCTGAATACTCATTTAGTGTGTTTATGCATGAGCTGCACAAATATATCTTATTTTGTTGTGTGTTTTACAGGCATAAGTCAGGATTTTGACTTGGGAGATGCATTTGACGATGACACACCACGTAAGTATGAAAATTATGATGATGTAACCATGTAAGGAGTATACAGCAGTATTGGCGATTTGTATAAACGGCATTGCCGTAGTGCCAGACTGATTTTATTTTGCACATTAAATGTATTTAACTTTTTTAAAATCCCATAGCTACCCAACCACCTAAAGTGGACCCAGCAGGTGGTGCAGGAGGAGCAGGTGAGAGTAATCATTGTTTGATGCAATTAATAGCACTGCGATAAGCAATCATTGCTGTTAAATGAGCCTTTCAAAATTAAAGGTGAGGTATGTAAGATTTTTTTTATATTAAAATACATTCTCATCATAACCCAGTTTATTGTTCACTGAGTATGCCATTTAGTATGCCAATTAGTATGCCATTCATGGGTTTATCTCCACCAAAAGTGTAAACATTCAGCCCCCCAGGCACCATTTAAACATTGAGAGCGATCTGCTCAGATCCGTCAATCTCTTTCCAGCTCAACCCATAGGGAGAGTTTGGGGCATGGCTACCGTAGCAGTCGGAGCCAGAGGGTGTTTTATCTGGTTTGGGAGCATGACTGATATTCAGCTTTGTGTACAGATGTGCAAGCCAAATTTCGCTGTGTGTAGACCTTCAAAGATTAAACTGGTCATGAACTTGTCAAAGCGAACGGGGCATTGCAACACACGCAACGTGCTACAATGGAATGAACATTTCCTGATAATTTACTCACCCCCACGTCATCCAAGATATTCATGTCTTTCTTTCTTCAGTTGAAAAGAAATTAAGGTTTTTGAGGAAAACATTCCAGGATTTTTCTCCATATAGTGGACTTTAACGGGAACCAACGGGTGGAAGGTCCAAATTGCAGTTTCAATGCAGCTTCAAAGCTGCACGATCCTAGCCGAGAAATAAGGGTCTTATCAAGTGAAATGATTGGTCATTTTCTAAAAATAAAAATGTATATACTTTTAAACCACAAATGCTCGTCTTGCACTAGTTCTATGATGCATAGTACCGACCTAGTCTTTGCACGTTCGCTTTGTAAACACTAAGTCAAACACCATTTACAAAAAAAGAAATAAAATGAAAGGTAAAACAATGATGTCGGATTATTTTGAAGGTAGAGGAGAAAATGAGATGGAGTTTTTCGCCCTAACTTTTTGAACCGGAACACGCGTGACCTTTCAACGTGATTACGCAATGCGTGGCGCATCGCAGAGCTAGTGCAAGACGAGCATTTGTGGTTAAAAAGAATATATATTTTTATCTATTTTTTAGAAAATGACTGATCGTTTCGTTAGATAAGGCCCTTATTCCTCTGCTGGGATCGTGTAGAGCCCTTTGAAGCTGCATTGAAACTGCAATTTGGACCTTCAAACTGTTATACCCAAGCACAAGCCCTGAAAAGTAAAGCCAAAACGTCTCACTCGCACCCCGGTGGCTGGTCCTATTATAGGTCATAAACCCCGCCTCCCTGTGTTATTCAGTTGAGAATAGCTGTTATTCACTTATTTAGTTGAGACCGATTTAACAATTAAATTACACTTCAAATATCGTTTTTCCAGAGATGGTTTCTGTCATTTACTGTAGTTTTTATCACGCTGATGTAATTTCAAGTGTTTTTAAAATAAGTTTGTTTTTAGTTAGTTATTCGATGCGGTGGTGTGACGTCATGATTGACAGCTGTGATTGACAGGTTCTCTGAGTGAAGTAGTCACTGAAGCACTAACAGACTTTTTTTCGGGATCTTCGGAGGACTGAGGAGATTCAAGCTTTAAATTTAATATCTAAATTTCTATAATTAATAAAAAAAAAGTGCAGGAGCGTGTGCTTGTGATTGATTCAGCGATTCATGATTCATTACTTCCTCTTCACTACTGCGCATGTCTGGTCCCGAAATCGGGATACTGGCGGCTTCACTTCTGACCAATGGAAGAGAGCGAAGGGTCCATCTTTGTTTACAGTCTATGGTTGTACCCCATTGAAGTCCACTATATGGAGAAAAATCCTGGAATGATTTCCGCAAAAACCTTAATTTCTTTTTGACTGAAGAAAGAAGGACATGAACATCTTGGATGACGTGGGGGTGAGTAAATTATCAGGAAATTTTCATTCTGAAGTGAACTAATCCTCAGAAAGACAAATGTTCCAGTTTATATTGTTTACTTTGACGTGTCCAGTGTAGACAGCCCTAAATAGTTGTGACGCGTCATGTCAGATACATTGGATGGGTTTATTATAAGAGACATAAGAGTTCACTCTAGACAGAGTGTGACTCAATTGCTTACTCATGACAGTGACACATTGCAACACAGCTAAGAGTTTTCCTAACACCGTGTCTACACCAATAGAACCCATTATACTCAGTGATGTTGTCTACACTGAAAGGGGTGTGACGCGACACAACAAATCCCTGACAGTAAAATGATGCCTCTTTCTATTTATGACGTACTCCACAAGTACTTACAATACTTCTCATAGGAAGGAGGAGGCACTTTGTCACGTCCAGTGTAGACAGCTTCTAGCTGTTGTGGCGCGATGTGACGCTTTAACAGTTGCGTCCGGTATAGACGTGGTGTAATATGTCAAAAGCAGCCTACATTTACCTGTTGAGACATTCACAAGAGCCATAGCTGCCAACTTTTGAGTTTAGCTTGGCGTGAGACTTTTCCGACTTTGGGGGGTGGAGGTGGATGACATTCTCCAACGGGGGTGGGGGGGGGGGGGGTGGGGGCAGGTCTCTCACTCGCTTTCCCGATTTTAACTAATTTGCGGCATAACTAGTCGATCACGAGTGGTTCAACGGGTAGATATATAGATAAACTCATCTTCCAGGCATTTGACCGACCAGGTTGCCACTTCAGCGTGAGAAATCGGGGGTGTGGCGTGTGAAACCAATCAAATGCGTGTGTCTCACGGCCAATGCGTGAGAGTTGGCAGCTGTGTCTGTGATGTTTGAGTTGAGGGAGGCACGACATACGAAAGGAGTGGCTTCTCACTGCAGAACCAATGGGTGGAGCTTGATGTCCAACCCCCCCTCACTGGATGAGATGGGGGAGCTAGACAGTCCAAACACACCCTAACCCAGGGATGGGCAACTTCGGTCCTGGAGGGCCACTGTCCTACAGAGTTTAGCTTCAACCCTAATCAAACACACCTGAACAAGCTAATCGAGGTCTTCAGGATTACTAGAAAGTTACAGGCAGGTGATTTTTTCAGGGTTGGAGCTAAACTCTGTAGGACCGACATTGCCCATCCCTGCCCTAACCCTACCTCTAAACATAACTCCAGAGAGGGGGAGCCAGACGTCATTTGGCGCTGCAGTGAGCAACACTTGGGCCAAAGGGATGTTTGCAAAATATGCTGTATTTTTGTAATTCTGCAGAATCTACATAGTTCACCTTTTAATGATGTGATAGATCATCACCTTTTATGACTTTTAATTTATGGAATTTAAAACCTGATTTAAAAAGTCTGAAAGAAAGATGTTCATTTGTTCAACAGTGAAACCCAGTCCAAAACCTGCTAAGCCCACAGTCAAAGAACCAGCAAAGGCCAAACCCAAACAAACAGGTGAGATGCACTTACTGTATTACTGTTCTGCTTGAAATGAACACAAAGCAAATCCCCCTACTGAACTTCTTCAATAAACACTGGAGCTGGTAGCATCTTTGAGTGCTAAAACATATAGTTTTTATATCATGTGTTATGCTGTGTCAGCAGGACATTTATCCTGATAGATCACAGAGATTTATCTGCGGTAAAAAAAAAAAAAAAAACATTGTATGAGACAGTTTAGGTTGGGGAGTAGTATATTTTAAACATTGAAAGATGTAAAAGAAAAATCTTACAAATGCTTTTTTTGTTATTAATTTTGGTGCTCACTAATCACTCTTCATCATAGGTTTGAATCCCCAGCACCCTCTGAATGTGAATTGCTTTACAATACTAACATATTAACCTCCACTAACAGAAGAGACAAACACTGATTTATTTGATGCCACCATTCGGCCTGCCCTGTTGCCCCGAACAACCCATAATCCTCTCCGAACCTCGGTTGCCCCTCGGAAAGTCCAGTCTGGTGTGTACCGTGCTGACAGTTCCCCTGCAGAACTGTTCATCGTGTTTGTGTCTGTGCGTGTTTGCATGAATATTTGTGTATTCAAAGCTAATAAATAAAAATGGCCAAAAAGAACGTTAGATTTGATTGAGGCTAGTAAATAATGCGATCATGGATTGTTTAGCATAATTTTCTATAATGCTCTAATGTTCTTCCATATTCAGAAGAAAAATAAAGTCCCTCCCTAATATTATTACATTATTAAAATAATGCATGCCTCATACAGTTTACATCAAATAAAAGCCATGACTTTAGCCGCTCTGCTCAAGTAATTTAGCTTATACTCATGCGATAAAAATGATAATAGAATTACAGCAGCTAAAATAAGTCATGGCCACAATCACTGATTTGCTGGTGGATGTCAACTCAAATCTTTTTTTTTAACTCAGATATTTCTGTCAAATTATCCTCTGTCTTGTACCCTAATATCACAGCACATTATGATCACATGGGCATCTTTTGCATTTGTCTTCATTATCATCTTGTCTTGTGACTTTGTGTGGGTTCCATCTTCACAACATAAAAGTGTGAAGCATTTAAACGTTTTAGTTTGTTTCAAACATATATTACACAGAAACATTTGTTTTTCATTGTCACTTAGCTGTATTAAAATTACAATTAGTTCTGCGCATATTCCATTTGTAATGACAAGAGTAACTATTTTGGCTGACAGGTCCTGACGACTTTGATCTTGAAGATGCCCTGGATCCCAACAATGACATCAGAGGAAAGGGCAAAGACTCTGGCAAAGGCGGTATGTATTTTTCTGTTTACTCGTGATTTACCTTTCTGGCTTTAAGGTTTCAACACAAATCTGTCAGAAAGAAGAATCTAAAATGTGCCTCCTTCAGATAGAACTAGCCTGCAAAACTGAGTTGTGAATGATATAACAACTCATTTTGATGAATGGTTTAGGCCAGCATAAACTGTTTCATTAGAGCAGACTTTTTTTCTACATTCTGAAGAGAGAAGGAAATGGTAAGCTGAAATGAAACTTTTCCTCTCAAAAGGCTGTTTCTCCAAAAAGAGATACAAAAGTAAAAAATAGAGGAGTAGGTCCAAATGGCAGATTCTGAGAAGACAGAAAGTTGAGTTTAAGGCCTCTGAACATCAAAACATGTTGTGCATCATCCGGTTTCTGTAAAAGCCCATGTAATCTCGAAGGTCATCAAAGGGATAGCCAAAGGAATCACACAGTAAAGTAAGACAATAATATTGCCCTCATAATCTATCATATCACTGTGAAACTCAGGCTACTATGTTGCTAGTCAGCGTGGGTTAACCCAAGCTAGCCAGGCTTGATGTCATCTCCTGTCCCTGGCAGATAAAGACCCCGGAGAAGGGGGCCGTGATGACGGCAAACCCAATAGCAGAGGTGGTAAGAAATAGAGTAACATACTTCTACCACTCGCTTCCTCTCTTTATCTTCTTGGCTGGAAGAATCACATTTTGTACCAACAAATCAAAGCTGATCTCACCATTATTAAAATCTAATCGGCTTTCTGATTTCAGCACGAGCTTTAATGGATTGAAGCATTAACCTAGTGACCACCATGGCTCCTGATCTCTTGCATCTTAACTTTGCATGGATTTTGAGCTTAATCAATCAGATCGCTAGTTCCTTTGCTTTCTCTGGATTGTATGTGGCAGTAGGGCTGGGTATATTGCTACAGATTTCACAAATTGGATAACACTTGATTCCTGTCTTGAATCAATTCAATATTCAATTAGATTCATTCAGAAATATTTTAGGTGCATCTCAACTAATGCTGTGAACTACAAGGGGAACCCTGTTAGTTGGTTCTTTACTATAATATTTAAGGTTACATTTAACAACAGAGCCTAAATGATTATTCAATTGCTATTTATTTTTAGATAATAATCAATACTAAAAAAATAAATTATTCATTGACCTGCTTTATTATTTAGATTTTGCCTTGAATTTGTAGTTTTATTGGGTTAAAAAAAACATGTCTCTGCTTTTAAATTTCGTTGTCGAAATTTAATCATTTACAAGATTTATTCAAACATACAATAGGCTACATTATTGCGACATCATGAACGGGTTAATTAAAAATAAAATTAATATGTAATATATTTAGCAAAATGCTCCTCATTAGAGTTTTATTTTAAGATAATTAACGTGCTATGGACCTTGAATGGCTTTCCTTGATGTAAATGACTGTTCCGTGACTTTGTCAAGCTGTTTCACTGACGTCTTGAAACACTGATTAAACGATTACATGAGACATGATATATTTCAGTAAGTTGTGCTGTATCTTTCAACATGCGTTTTGATTTTACCTCCATTCATGTTTATTTTGTGCTATAACTTTAATGAGAAAGAGACGATCGGTCTCGCTCGCGCTCACTGCTGCCGTTGAACTGCATTAAAAAGACCGTCAAAAAGCGTTCGCTTCACACAAGGTACATCGCCACCTAGAGGAGAAGAGTGGAAATAATAGGATTGAATATTAAACAAACAGAAAATGATTGATCCATTTTGATGATCGATATTGAATCTAGCTAATTTTTAATCCAGCATTTTTTTTATTTATTTGCCCAGCCCTAATCGACAGCTCCGCTTTCTGTTTCTTGCAGGGTGCTGGGCTTTTCCTTTTTTGGGGTAATAAAAGCTTCACCTTTAGATCTTTGGGTCTGTAATGGAAAGCTAATAAGATTTGTAAACCTCAAGACTGACCCATGCATGAGTGCTTCTCGTGTTGTTCCCAAGCTAATTGGTCTTTTCTAATATCTCAGGTAGTCAATTTTCAGACGATGACCTTTCTGATGTGGCCGATGATAAAACCTACAACCCCGAAAAGGGCAAAGGTAACTTAAACCTCCTGACTGATCCTCACATCGAGGGACCTGTCAAATAAGAAACGATGACTGGCCAACTACAGAAGTTTCATTTCAGTGTTCACATTTCTGCAGGTGGAAAAGGTGGAAGTGCCAGCATTGGTGGCGATGTGGATCCTGCTGATGAAAATAACTATGGTATGATTGAGTTAAATAGTATTTAGGGATATTAGAAGAACATTTCATAGAGGCCTATGTATTCATCCTTAGACACCATGGCTGAGACCGGAACCATCGCTGGTATTGTGAGCGCTGTCGGAATGGCTCTGGTTGGTGCAGTGAGCGGCTACATCTCCTACCAGAAGAAGAAGTTTTGCTTCAGCATACAGCGTAAGGAAACACTTTTCCTTCTTAACTGTACCACACAGCTTGTGCACATGTATCATGTGCTCGATCTCTCCACAGAGAGTCTGAATGCAGATATGGTGAAGGCAGATGCCCCAGATGCTGTTGTCGCACAGGAGCCACAAGGTAATGACCCTTGTTTATAAGGCTAATGTCTTTTTTTTTACTACGGACAAGACTTTTAGGAGCAGTCACTGTACTTTAAAACATACTATTGGTGTATTGACTTATACTCTCTTTATAAATACATGATAAGGAAATGCATAATACCGTAAAACTTCAAATAGTAGCCCGGGCTTTTATTTTCCCAAATCGTCGAACTGCACCGGCTTGTATTTGAGACAGGCGTCTATATGAGACAGGCTTTTATAATTTAGTATTGAGATGTTGTTCATTGAGTGTATAGGCCTGTCTCTCCATCCATCCATCTTCTTCCGCTTATCCGGGGCCGGGTCGCGGGGGCAGCAGTCTAAGCAGAGATGCCCAGACTTCCCTCTCCCTGGACACTTCCTCCAGCTCTTCCGGGGGGACACCGAGGCGTTCCCAGGCCAGCCGGGAGACATAGTCTCTCCAGCGTGTCCTAGGTCTTCCCCGGGGTCTCCTCCCAGTGGGACGTGCCCGGAACACCTCCCCGGGAAGGCGTCCAGGAGGCATCCGAAACAGATGCCCGAGCCACCTCAGCTGACCCCTCTCGATGTGGAGGAGCAGCGGCTCTACTCTGAGCTCCTCCCGAGTGACCGAGCTTCTCACCCTATCTCTAAGGGATCGCCCAGCCACCCTGCGGAGAAAGCTCATTTCGGCCGCCTGTATCCGGGATCTTGTCCTTTCGGTCATGACCCAAAGCTCATGACCATAGGTGAGAGTAGGAACGTAGATTGACCGGTAAATCGAGAGCTTTGCCTTACGGCTCAGCTCTTTCTTCACCACAACAGACCGGTACATCGACCGCATTACTGCAGAAGCTGCACCGATCCGTCTGTCAATCTCCCGTTCCATCCTTCCCTCACTCGTGAACAAAACCCCAAGATACTTAAACTCCTCCACTTGAGGAAGGATCTCTCCACCAACCTGAAGTGAGCAAGCCGCCCTTTTCCGACTGAGGACCATGGCCTCGGATTTGGAGGCGCTGATTCTCATCCCAGCCGCTTCACACTCGGCTGCAAACCGTCCCAGTGCATGCTGAAGGTCCTGGTGTGAGGGGGCCAACACGACAACATCATCCGCAAAGAGCAGAGACGAAATCGCGTGGTCCCCAAACCTGACACCCTCCGGCCCCTGGCTGCGCCTAGAAATTCTGTCCATAAAAATTATGAACAGAACCGGCGACAAAGGGCAGCCCTGCCGGAGTCCAACATGCACCGGGAAGAAGTCTGACTTACTACCGGCAATGCGAACCAAGCTCCTGCTTCGGTCATACAGGGACCGGACAGCCCTTAGCAAAGGACCCGGGACCCCATACTCCCGGAGCACCCTCCACAGGCCGCCTCGGGGGACACAGTCGAATGCCTTCTCCAAATCCACAAAGCACATGTGGACTGGTTGGGCAAACTCCCATGAACCCTCCAGCACCCTGTAGAGGGTATAGAGCTGGTCCAGTGTTCCACGGCCTGGACGAAAACCGCACTGTTCCTCCTGAATCCGAGGTTCCACTATCGGCCGTATTCTCCTCTCCAGTACCCTGGCATAGACTTTCCCAGGGAGGCTGAGAAGTGTGATCCCCCTGTAGTTGGAACACACCCTCCGGTCCCCCTTCTTAAAAAGAGGGACCACCACCCCGGTCTGCCATCCCAGAGGCACTGTCCCCGACCGCCACGCGATGCTGCAGAGGCGTGTCAGCCAAGACAGCCCCACAACATCCAGAGACTTGAGGTACTCAGGGCGGATCTCATCCACCCCCGGTGCCTTGCCACCGAGGAGTTTCTTGACTACCTCGGTGACCTCAGCTACGGTGATGGACGAGTCCACCTCTGAGCCCTCAGCCTCTGCTTCCTCAATAGAAGACGTGACGGCGGGATTGAGGAGATCCTCGAAGTATTCCTTCCACCGTCCGACGACATCCCCAGTTGAGGTCAACAGCTGCCCACCTCCACTGTAAACAGCGTTGGTAGGGCACTGTTTCCCTCTCCTGAGGCGCCGGACAGTTTGCCAGAATCTCTTCGAGGCCAGCCGATAGTCCTTCTCCATGGCCTCACCGAACTCCTCCCAGGCCCGAGTTTTTGCCTCCACAACCACCCGGGCTGCAGTCCGCTTGGCCTGCCGGTACCTGTCAGCTGCCTCAGGAGTCCCACAAGCCAACCAGGCCCGATAGGACTCCTTCTTCAGCTTGACGGCATCCTTTACTTCCGGTGTCCACCACCGGGTTCGGGGATTGCCGCCTCGACAGGCACCGGAGACCTTACGGCCACAGCTCCGAGCCGCCGCTTCGACAATGGAGGCGGAGAACATGGTCCACTCAGACTCAATATCTCCAGCCTCCCTCGGGATCCGGTCGTGGCTCTGCCGGAGGTGGGAGTTGAAGATCTCTCTGACAGGAGATTCGGCCAAACGTTCCCAGCAAACCCTTACAGTACGCTTGGGTCTGCCGTGTCTGTCCAGCTTCCTCCCCCGCCATCGGATCCAACTCACCACCAGGTGGTGATCAGTTGACAGCTCCGCCCCTCTCTTCACCCGAGTGTCCAAGACATACGGCCGCAGGTCAGATGAAACGACCACAAAGTCGATCATCGACCTACGACCTAGGGTGTCCTGGTGCCACGTGCACTGATGGACACCCTTATGCTTGAACATGGTGTTCGTTATGGACAAACTGTAACTAGCACAGAAGTCCAATAACTGAACACCGCTCGGGTTCAGGTCGGGGGGGCCGTTCCTCCCAATCACGCCCCTCCAGGTGTCACTGTCGCTGCCCACGTGAGCGTTGAAGTCCCCCAGTAGAACAACGGAGTCCCCAGTCGGAGCACTTTCCAGCACTCCTCCCAGAGACCCCAAGAAGGCCGGGTACTCTGCACTGCCGTTCGGCCCGTAGGCACACACGACAGTGAGAGACCTATCCCCGACCCGTAGGCGCAGGGAAACGACCCTCTCGTTCACCGGGGTAAACTCCAGCACATGGCGGCTGAGCTGGGGGGCTATAAGCAAACCCACACCAGCCCGTCGCCTCTCACCATGGGCAACTCCAGAGTGGTGAAGAGTCCATCCTCTCTCAAGGAGTGTGGTTCCAGAGCCCAAGCCATGCGTAGAGGTGATCCCGACTATCTCTAGTCGGAACCTCTCAACCTCACGCACGATCTCAGGCTCCTTCCCCGCCAGCGAGGTGATGTTCCACGTCCCTAAGGCTAGTTTCCGTGTCCAGGGATCGGGTCGTCGAGGCCCCCGCCTTCGACTGCCGCCCGATCCTCTCTGCACCGGCCCCTTACGGCTCTTCCTGCAGGTGGTGAGCCCACGGGAAGGCGGTCCCACGTCGCTCCTTCGGGCTGAGCCCGGCCGGACCCCGTGGGGAGAGGCCCGGCCACCAGGCGCTCGCATACGAGCCCCAACCCCGGGCCTGGCTCCAGGGTGGGGCCCCGGCTGCGCCATACCGGGCGACGTCACAGTCCTTGTATTGTTGTGCATCATAAGGGGTTTTTGAACCGCTCTTAGTCTGTCTTAGTCTTACTCCTCCTTGAACTGCCACCTTAACGTGGTGGAGGGGTTTGAGTACCCGAATGACCCTAGGAGCTATGTTGTCTGGGGCTATATGCCCCTGGTAGGGTCTCCCAAGGCAAACAGGTCCTAGGCGACGGGTCAGACTAAGAGCAGGCCTGTCTCTAATCTCTAAAAATCTCCAAATGCTCCACGTGAAACTGCGGTCTTCCGACCTTTTACTATCGCGTCAAATGATTTTGATTAATATGCGCGAGGGAGAGAGCAAGACAGCGCTCGTGTTGTTTGAAGACGTGAGAGTGCGCGCGCGCGGCCGGGGCGCTCTCTCTCTCTCTGCTCGTAACGCGCCCTGTCAAGAGCAGCAGTCACTCTATTCTACATCACTCATCGATCAAAAAAGGCGTTTGGAGGGACAAAAATTTGCTTTGGCGGCCGCGAAAAAGCGGACGACCTGACGGTTTTAGAGCATTAAATACAACCCGAAACTAAAAAACAGACCCGGCCTCTATTTGAGACCGGCCTTTATTTACCCAAACCTGCAGCCACACCAGGCGTGTAAAAGAGACAGGCGTCTATTTGGGACTCGGCTATTATTTGAAGTTTTACGGTAATAATAATAATAAATGATTTGAAGATACCCAAATGGCTTTAATTAGCTTTAAAGGTGTTTTATCAGTTTATTAGTAACTTTTTTTCTAGTCTGCATAATTCATTGTTGGAAAATACTTAGTTATTCTATTCTATAATGATATTATATTACATGCAAATATTATATTTACGTTATTTTTCTTCCTACTCCAGTTCAACAAACTCTTCTCCAGCCTCCCAACGCTGAGCCGCCGACAGAGGAAAATGCGGTGTAATCAGTCCAAACTGAAGAGGGCGCAGTTCGAAATCGTTGTTCTCCTATTTGAATGCCACTGTATTTCCCAGCAGAGCACATTTGCACCACAACGCCCTTTTTTTAAGTACCAATGTGAACTGTTGAAATCGACCTTAAACATAGTGTAATGTCTTTTAATTGAGCATATTCCATCTGTTCACGTGCAACAATGCTAGTAAGCCTGTTTGCAATAATATTGCTATGAAATGGAAAACACCTAAAAATGTTTTTTTTTAGCATGATCTGCTGAGACCTGAGAAATTAAACTTGGGTCTCTTTATGGAGCCCATACAAAAAGTCCCACACATACTGCGCTAGTCTTATTGTTTGTCAGATCGGCTCATCATTCCTATTATGCAGAAATGCATATTAAACAGTGAGACAACTGATTAATCCAAGGTTTACAAAAACGGCTGATTGGATAATCATAGAATTATGCTTTTATAGGTCAATAATGTGTTTTTCTTTTGTTTTCACAGCAAGACAGGCTTATCAGATTGGTTGTGATGGAATCTGCAAGATGATGAAGGATTTGTGAAGGGTCCTTTTGTTTGTTTTAACATGATCTGTATATATTTGCCTTGCTTTCACAGAGCAATGTGAAAAGATTGTTACACATATATATGCAGGTTTTTGTGTCTTAGCTAACTTTTTACTAGAGTGACTTTTTGAGGAAAAAAATTGACGCTTAAGTCTGAAACTAACCGACAGCTGCTTCCTTCTAAATTGCTTTTTTTGTTTGTTTTTTGTAATGACTAAAATGGGTATAACTGTGAAGATGTGACGTGTGTTGATGAAGAAACTGCTTTTGTGCGTGTTAGTTGGTTGTCAGTGGTTGCGATTCCTTTTTAGGAATAGATCATTTCGGCATGATCAAAATGACTAGATACATTAGCGTAACTTGTGGGTGAAAGTAACCAAAAAGTAGTGTTTTCATGTTAGCGCAATACTTAAGCAGTGTAGTAACTCTCGCATCGCTAATTCTGATCGATTGCCTTTTTTTGGGGGATTTTAAGGGATTAATGTGCTTGTAAATCGCGTACTGTTTCCAAGTTTGTACTCAAACCGTTGTATCAGTGTATCTCTATTTACACTTGTAGCAGTAAATGTACATAAATGTTTGTGCCCCCCAGTCTTTTGAATTATGGGGAGTAGTTTTTCGCCCAAGCTTAGTGTTTGTATCGTTTCTAGCATGTTTGAGCGTTAGCTTTGAGACTTTTTGAGAATTGTTGCACCCTTCCTAGTTTTGCTATTGCCTTAATGAGTCCCTATAGCTGCTTTCCCGTTTTGCTAATTTTCCCACCCTGTTTGGGTCTGGCGTTTGTGCCACAGAGCTTGGCCAGACCCTTCGTTTCTTCTCATTTGGAAGGCCACCATCTGGAACTAGCAAGCGGAGTTAGCAAAACTGGATTGGAAAGCAGCTCAGTCCTTACCATCCTCTCCCTGACTTGAGATCCTCCAGATTTCCCTGTAGCTGTTGTTTTTCACTGTGAATTCAGGTGCACCTTTGTTACTCCCAACCTAAGCCCTTGCCAATGGTGCTTTCCTTCCCAATGCCTTACCACACTAACATTAGGGAAGACACGCTAGCTTACTTGCACGGCACTAACAGTCACAACCATTAGAAGGGCTGCCTCACTTGAATGTCTACAAAGCAGGCGTACCAGGTTAAGTACGTTGTTCTAATTCAAAGGTGTGGTCACATTCGCTGAGCTCCGAAGCAAGGTCCATTGTTAAATGTAGCGAAGCATGAAGCGCTCACATAGAAGTCAGTGAGAAACCACAAGTTGGTCAACATGACGTATTTGTGACAAACTTTAACGCGGAAATCTTTTGATTCATATTAAAATGGCCGGATTTCGCCCACGAAAATTGCCGAACAACGGTAAATGTGACCACACTTTAACACTCTATTGCAGTTTGAACACTTCTAAAATATTGTTAACTCACATGCCCAACATAAAGTAGATTTACAAGTCTTGCAAATGGTGATGTCAGAAACCCAGCTGCGCAGAATGTTCCCTTTAAACGGCACGTTCTACCAAGGCTTTTGTACAGTATCTAGGGTGAAAACAGAATGTTAGCTGAATGTAACTTTTTACTGCTTTGGCTACCAGAACAATGTAGCTTTTTTGGTGCTACACTTGTCAGAAATGAAGAACACCAAAGATGAAATGTGATGGTTTTGCCTTTTTGCATGTTCTTTGACTTTGGTGTGAGTCTTGTGGAATGAATTTGAAAGTAAAAGATACAACAGTCTCGTTAAGGCAAGAAATTCACAAGTGTCTTGAACATTTTTGTCAACATTATCATCTGTTTGTGTTGAACTGCTACCAGATTTGTTGCTTGGACACATGGTGTGACTGTTAAAAACCTCCCTAATTCTTTCAATTGACCTGAATCTATTGAATCTACATTTCTGGGTACTATATGGTGGATGGGATGTTTCGTTTGTAAGGATCTCTGGGCTCTCTGGTGTCGTTTGGCCAGTATAGTTGCAATTTTGTCAAAACAAGGGTGTATGTGCTGAACTGTACAGATATGCATGTTTTGGATTCTAGCTGTAGATATTAAAGTTTTTTTTCTTGTGTACTGGGTTTATTTATGAACTTGAGAAATGTGAAATTGGAGAAATTGGAAGTGAAGTTTCTGAAGTGTCTTGATTTGCACTGCCAGTTTAGTTATTGCATCATGATATTACTGCCACTGATCAGATTGTAATGCTCGGCTTTAATGTGAACCAGAAATATTGACCTTCATCACAGTTTTCATCAGTGCCTACTTAATGTGATGAAAACACAATTAATTACACAGATATCAACTGGCAATCCTATTCTAAACATTGTAATATTCAAATTTAATACAATTTCACTCTGTATTTCACTGGTTATACTTGGTGGTAAAAGATCAGCATAAAGAAACCCAATAATAAACAGTTTATCTGGTCTTTGATTCCTTTGGTTATTTATTTTTCTTAAATTCAGGATGCAAGGGTTTGGAGTCGTGTTTTTTTTTTTTTTTTTTACATGTAGAAAGAATAACCAGGGCGGCACAAATACAAAAATACACTCATAAAAGAAAGAAAAAAATACATTATAAATTCAGTTTTTAAAATATTACATGTAATTGGCGTTTTAAACATTATATGGCATCCTCTGTTCAAATGATCAGGGCTGTGTAAAGACCATTGGTGGAAATGGTTCTATGATCCACTTAGACAAAACATTTCTTTGCACTCAGATCATCAAACATGAGTATATAACAAAAACGGGGTTAATATCAGATGGTCCTTATTTACCTTGTAAACGTACATTTCAGTAGTACAGGAAGTACAATAGTAGTGCAATATTAGGATGTGCACATAAAAACTATCAAACTAACAGAAAAGCAAAGACCAATGGCAGTATCACAACAGCAATATTCGAATGAATTAGTAAAACCTAATAAAATAATGACACAAAATGAGTTCATAGGTAAGGAAATAAATGTTATGTAAGATTTTTTAAATAACTAAAGGGATGTTAAAGGTTATAGAGGTATTGGCACACAGGCAGGCAAAGCTGAGGCAGTAAAGAAAAACTATTAGACAAAAACAGAAAAATTACAAAGAAACACTGATTAAAATAGAAAAAAAATATTATAAATTATTAAAAAGTATATTTACAAGTCAAGTTAAAATACTGGCTTATTTTTTCAGAAACTGAATCACAATCAAAAGGTTCTCTGTTTTGAAGGAAGTCTACACTTTATAAAACACAACCGAAATGAAACTAAATTGTGTGGGAGACTGTCCTCCTTTTGGGTGTTCATGCTAATTTTCACATGTATATACGCTGGCTCTCTATACGTCCTGCCAAAAGCATCATCCAGTGAGAAATGGCAGATAGATTTAAATATCACATTATCATGTTTACTGTAACCTATAGATTCCTACCACACATTCTGTTAATAATGAATCCTCTCTAATTTGAGCATTGCATGTGTGTTACACAGAGGAGTGTAGTGGTGTACCGCCATGTGAGGGAGAATACGCATGCTCTGATGAAGAGGAGATTGAGCGTGATGAAGATGCTTCTTTCTGTAACTCATCCACCTTCCTCTGTAGCTCTGCACGCAGATACAGCAACTCCTTCAGGTTCTGGTGTACAGGCATCTGAACACAAGTCAACACACAACATTTCAGTTCCCTCAGTGTCAGTTATAAAAGTTCTAGTTGGTTTTTAGTCAACAAGCATCACATGACCGTACAAAGGCTGCATTTACACTGCAGGTCTTGATGCTCAAATCCGATTTTCTGACTATATCCGATTTTTTTGACGACCCGCTTACATCATCTTTTAAAAGTGACCCGTATCCGATTTTTGCATTTACACTGTACACTGCTGAAACTACCAAATGTAGACAGCAAGAAATACAATGGATGCAGATGCGAATAAAATTATCTAGTGTTTTGCTTTCCACAATATTTTTAAAAGTCATTAAGCTTTTTATCTTACGGTGGTGCTGTAGCCACGAGCGCTTAAAACCGTGCCTCCCCATATCTCGTGAAATGTCTTCAAACACGGATTTATTTCTGTAACAACTCTGCAGAACCCTCTCTTCGCCCCAAACACTCAAAAGACATGAAACCTCCGCATTGCTCCACTGTGTGTATCCTTCGTCCTCCATCGCGCCTATAATAAGTCATGTGATCTCAGTTGGTGGTGTCCACCTGAGTTGACGTCACTTTTTTAATGACAAACGACTCGCATTTACTGGGGAATATCCGATTTGTCAGCTTACATGTCACACGCAAATGCACGTATCCGATTCATATTCGATTTATTACCACATATGAGTGAGGCCTGAATCCGATCTGAGAAAATCGGAATCCATGCGTTTTTTTCCTGCTTACACATTCATGGGTCATATCCGATCTGACTGTGCCACATGAGAGGAAAAATCGGATTTGGGTCACTTAACCATGCAGTGTAAATGGGGCTTAATTGTTTAAATGCCTGATATATGTAGTGGTTGCCCATATTAAATTAGTTTTCTGGCTATTTCTTGGAACAGAATAAATAATTGAGGGCCAAAAATGTAGGTTCAGGAAGAATAAATCAAATGACCTTTATATATATATATATATAGCGCTTTCGGTAATAAACAGGGAAGTAACGGTCAATGATGCAAACTTCATCAAAAATGAAACCAATTCTGCTGTAAATCAGCTCTACAGAAGACAATAGTGTCTTTATTCAGCTCAAATCAGTTTAGTGTTGATTTAATTCAGTTCAATAAGTGTTGATGCTGCAAAATTCGTCAATTATATAAAAAAGTTAAATCAGCTATAAAGCAGCTCTACAGAAAACAGTGATGTCATCATCCAGCTCAATTCAGTTTAAGTTTTGTTCTCATCATATAGTGTCAGTGCAGTCAAATCAATAATATGCTGAATATTAAGTCTTTTAAACCCCGACTAAGCAAGCCAAAGCCAACAATGGCAAGGAACCCAATGTTTACATGACACTGTTTTCAACTAAAAACTGAAGTTTTGGCCATTCATTTACCCGACAACAGCTTTTTGGGGGTTTGAAAATGCAAACTATGGCTGTTGCGGTGAAGGAATTTCCCTTGTGGTGCTTTTGAATGCCTCAATATCGGGTTCAGATGACAGAACATAAACCTGACAATAGAGCTGCACGATTCTGGATAAACAGAGAATCATGATTTTTTTTGTTTCAAATAGATCATGATTCTGAACAGACAAAATAACTTGTAATTTACTAGAGGTTCTGACAAATGCTAATTGGTGCAGTCTATTTAAAATGTTTGATGATTCAATGACTCATAAATAGGGTGCTTCATTGTTTCATTACTGGATGACTCAATGTTTTTTGAATGAATCTCTTGAGTGAATGATTCAATGACAAATCTTTTTTTTTTTAAGTCACCTGTCGCCACCTACTGGTGCAACAATGTAATCGATACAATCGTTATTTGAAGCGCCATGTTACTTTCAAACGGTGATTTGCTCAATTTTGATCGCTACTGTAGACATCAGTGTTTATATCCGAACTATAAAATTTTATCCCAGTACTTCAGAGACCATTTTAATTACTATATGACAGAAATAATGATACTGTGTGGTTGAAAAGAAGCCATTTCATACCTAAACATGATAACTGTTCTAACATTCAACGTTTTTGAAAACGGTGACGTCATGCATATTACGTGTTCAGTCTATAGGGCGCATAGTGTTTCTTTACAAAGTGACCTCACCAACTACTGGCCTGGCTGGCATAATACAGCGTTTTTAATCATTTTCGTGGATCTGTATGAACGGAGATCGTTTTGACAACGTTGTCGCCTGTATGCGAAAAACGCAAAGGAAAAACCTTTCCGTTTTTATTACAAACATACGCTCAAAGTAACCCTTAAAGTGTTTTGCACCTGTGGTCTCATGCGGGGGTTCCAGCGAACGTAGTATGCAGCCCACAGCTCCAAATGTCTTAGACTGGCCAAGGGGTACAGCACATGGTTTTCATAGTCTACATAGAAGGGGTTGGTGAAGTCCTCTGGCTGGCTATTGATGTAGGACCACAAAGACACCGTCTTACTGTTCACTTCCTGAAAAAATAGAACAATTAAAAAAAAAATCAGCTATGAAACATGTACGTCACCAAAACTCCACCCTCCCCCTGGATTGGCACAATGGTACATGCCTTTTCCACTCGCTCCTGTTCACTGTTGTAAAGGAATGTACCAAATAGGCAGCTGTAGAGGTGATCCAGGATGGTGACGAGGAAGAGCTCATTAAACTCAAAGGCAGTGGGAAACTGAGAACACATCATAAAGACAGCCACAGTGAGTTCTAAAACATCAGTATCCATTTCATGTGAATTCATAGGAATTTGGCTCAGTGATAAATCACACACATAACATTGTAAATAATATTTCAATATAAATTAAAATAGCTAGTGATTAGATAGCAATAAAAGGTACAGCTTACCTGTCTCATAATTTGCCAAACACAGTCTATGAACTGCACAAATAGAGGCGAGCGCTCAGAGTTTGCATGATTTTCATCTCCATGTCCAACACGCTGTGATATAGAGAGATGAGAGTAAGATTTTTCTTTTCTTTTTTAAATCAATATTTCTATTCAGCAAGGACATATTAAATTGATCATAAGTGCCAGTAAAAACATTTGTTACTAAATATTTCTATTTCAAATTAATGTTGTTATTTTGACCTTTCTATTTAAAGTGTATCAAGGTTTCCACAAGGTTTTCATCATTGATAATATTAATAAATGTTATTGTGCACCAAATCAGCATATCACATTTTTTTCTGAAGGATCACGTGACACTGAAGCCTGGAGTAATGATGATGAAAACTCAGCTTTGCCATCACAGGAATAAATTACGTTTTAAAAATATTAAAACAGAAAACAGTTATTTTTAGTAATAATAATAATGTTGAGTTCAACATCATGCCCCTCAAGCTCAGCGAAGTCAGGCAAGTCGTGGAGAAGGCAAGGTCCTCTTTCGCACCTGGTCCCAATGGGGTCCCCTACAAGCTTTATAAGAACTGCCCCAAGGTACTAGAGCTACTATGGTATCTGATGAGAACTGCCTGGAAAAAGCAAATCATTCCATCTGAGTGGCAAAGAGCGGTAGCAGTCTTCATACCTAAGGAAACGAACTCCAAAGACATTAGCCAATTCCGGAACATTGCACTACTGAATGTAGAAGGAAAGATCTTCTTCTCAGTGCTAGCCAGGAGGATGACTAACTATCTGCTCGAGAATGGCTATGTTGACACCAACTGCCAGAAGGCAGGAGTTCCAGGTTTCCCAGGATGTGTAGAGCACTCCACTATGATCTGGGACCAGATCCAGAAGGCCAAGCGGGAGAAGACCGACCTGCATGTCATCTGGCTTGACCTTGCCAACGCGTACGGATCAGTTCCGCATCAGCTGGTCAACTATGCCATGGAATTCTTCCACATGCCCACCTGCGTCAAGAGCCTGGTAGCTCAGTACTTTAGCAACTTGCAGATGTGTTTTTCCCTCCAGGACTTCACCACCGGATGGCAGCGGCTCAAAGTAGGAATCGCGATGGGGTGTACTATTTCTCCAATACTGTTTGTAGCAGCCTTTGAGATAATCCTCATCGGGGCAAGGCAAATGGTTGGGGGGATCAAACTCCCAACTGGCAAGAGGCTTCCCCCACTGAGGAGTTGCATGGATGATGTCACCAGCCTCCTTCAGACATCAGCATGCACATCAAGACTGCTGAAGAGGATGGACGAATTGATGTCATGGGCAAGAATGAAGATCAAGCCCTCCAAGTCTCGGAGCTTGTCCCTCAGGAGAGGAGTCAGAAATGACAATACCAACTTCGTCATTGGAGGGGAAAAAATCCCACTTCTATCAGAGCAACCGATCAGAAGCCTGGGGAGGCAGTACACTGCAGACCTATCTGACAAACAGATGGGGAAAACCGTCATGAAGCAGCTCTCCGACGGACTGGCAAGGATCGACCAAAGCCAACTCCCTGGGAAGTTTAAGGTCTGGTGCTACCAGTTTACACTCTACAGGAGGGTGATGTGGCCCCTGAAAATGAGTGAGATTCCCTCATCAACTGTAAGTAAGATGGACGGAAAAGCCAACTCATTCATCCGAAAGTGGTTGGGGTTGCCACGGTGCCTATCTGAAACCGGTCTATTTGGAAAAAACATGCTGCAGCTGCCACTGCAGTCCATACAGTTGGGCTACATGCAAGAAAAGACCAGGTTGGTTCTCGAGCTGAGGGAGTCCACAGACGAGTCAGTAAAGAACGCAAATGCCAAGGTTCCTACTGGCCGCAAGTGGAATGCCCAAACCGAGGTCGATCAAGCTGTCGGTCGGCTACAACACCGGGAGATCATGGGCAGAGTTCAGGTAGGAAGAGCAGGTCTAGGATGGGGAGAGACGCCACGCTTTTGGTCCAAGGCCAATCACAAGCAAAGGAAGGAGATGGTGGTAGCAGAGGTGACGAGGATGGAGGAAGATCGCTACAAAATCAAGGCCGTGGCGCAGGGTCGACAAGGAAGCTGGACAACCTGGGAGGGAATCATGAACCGGAACATCAGTTGGTCAGACGTGTGGAAGACCCCACAGGCAAGACTTAGTTTCCTTATTCGTTCAACCTACGACACGCTTCCCTGCCCTCGGAACCTCCACCAGTGGTTTGGAAATGAAGAATCCTGCGTACTCTGCAATGCTCCCAACGCAAGTCTCCAGCACATCTTGGCAGGCTGTAAGATCGCTCTCTCACAGGGACGCTACAGATGGCGCCACGATCAGGTCCTGAGAAAGCTAGCCGAAGTACTTGAGGAGTGTCGACAGGGTAGCAAACAACCACCATCAGCAGAGGACCCCACCATCTTTGTGTCGGAAGGAGGGGTAAGGAGAAGCACCAGATCAAGAGAAACAGCAAGGCTCTTCTCCCCCAACCAGGAGTGGGACATGAGGGTTGACCTAGATAAGCAGCTCCGGTTCCCCACGGAGATAACCACCACATCTCTCCGGCCAGACATAGTGGTGTGGTCAACCAAGGCGAGATCGACGCACCTCATTGAGCTCACTGTACCACTGGAGGAGGGGATCGAGGCCGCCTTCGAACGGAAGAAGGCCAAGTACTCGGAGCTCGCTGCCGAGTGCCGGGAGGCTGGCTGGAAGACGACCATCCACCCAGTGGAGGTCGGATGCCGAGGTTTCCTTGGGGTGTCAACCATACGCCTCTTGAGGGAAGCAGGAGTGGCCGGAGGGAGGCTAAGGAGGGCAACAAAGGATCTGGCAGAGGAGGCAGAGAAAGGTAGCTTTTGGCTCTGGCTGAGGAGGAAAGATAGGTGTTGGGGGAAGAACATCTAACCCCAGATAACAGCAGCAGGGAGAACAGCTATCAGCTGCAGGGGGTGACAGGGAGACGTCCCTGTCACTGCTCCGCCACCAGGAGACGTTCCAGAATTAAAGGAGCGAAACGTCGGTGAACGGTGGTTTCTGGCTGATGACCCTGCAGCTGACCCATGGGCACTGGAGGAGGTGCGACAGGCAGCAATGCCCAGCAGGTGGTAACATCTTCCTGTGCAATTACTAATAATTCATTACATTTATATAGCGCTTTACATAGAAGGGGGGATCTCCTCAACCACCACCAATGTGCAGCATCCACCTGGATGATGCGACGGCAGCCATATTGCGCCAGAACGCCCACCACACACCAGCTTACTGGTGGAGAGGAGACATAATGATGAAGCCAATTGGTATATATATATGGGGATGATTAGGAGGCCATGATGGACAGAGGCCACTGGGCAAATTTGGCCAGGATGCCGGGGTTACACCCCTACTCTTTCGAAAGACATCCTGGGATTTTTTGTGACCACAGAGTGTCAGGGCCTCGGTTTAACGTCTCATCCGAAGGCTCTTTGACAGTATAGTGTCCCCATTACTATACTGGGGCGTTAGGACCATAGACTGAAAAAAAGATGGACGACGCCCCTTCGCTCTTTTCCATTGGAGAGAACTGAAGCCGCCAGTGTCCCGATATGGCGCTGACATATTGGAACTTGAGTCTGCGCAGTAGCGTTTTCGGGACCAGTCATGCGCAGTCGTGAGCAGGAAGTAAAGCCGCGAAATCAAGGCCCCGCCCTCACTCTCGCTGAATCAATCGCTAGCACACGCCCCTGCACTTTTCTTAAGTGGCCTCTGTCTGCTCCGTTCCTCTCCAATGATGTCTGCTGATTGCAGTACCTCGTTAAAATAAGGTAAATACAACTACTAAATACATAGTCAACATTATGAAAAAAAGTCCGTTGGTGCTTCAGTGACTACTTCGCACAGAGAACCTGTCAATCACAGTGGTCAATCATGATGTCACAGCACCGTTTTTATAGCATCAAATAACTAACTAAAAACAAACTTATTTTAAAAACAAACACTTGAAATTACATCAACGTGATAGAAACTACAGTAAATGACAGAATCTATCTTTAGAAAAAAGATATGTGAAGTGTAATTTAATTATTTAGTTGGTCTCACGTCCCGTTGAATAACATGGGGAGGCGGGGTTTATGACCTATACTAGGACCGGTCACCGGGGGGCGATCGAGACGTTTTGGCTTCACTTTTGAGGGCTTGCTTGGTTAGGACCCACACAGACCAAAGGGTGAGCGCCCCCTGCTGGACTCACTAACACCTCTTCCAGCAGCAACCTGGTTTTCTCAGAAGGTCTCCCTTCCAGGTACTAACCAGGTGTAACCCCTCCACCCGGGTCCCACTCGTCCCGCTCCGAGCGGGCCTCGAACCCGGGTCTCCGGCATAAGAGTCAGGCACTCTAACAAGGAGGCTAAAGACTGCAGCCTCTATCATCTGTCGCTAGAGCGCCTATTGAGATCAGAGGAGTGAGGTTTACTCGCACAGCAACTACTAGCTGGCCTCCATTACACTCACCCCCCTAAACCTCACTCCCATCCGGGTCACGGCACCAATGTAACCCCTCCACCTGGGTCCCACTCGTCCCGCTCCGAGCGGGCCTCGAACCCGGGTCTCCGGCATGAGCGCCAGGCACTCTAACAAGGAGGCTAAAGACTGCAGCCTCTAGCATCTGTCGCTAGAGCGCCTATTGAGATCAGAGGAGTGAGGTTTACTCGCACAGCAACTACTAGCTGGCCTCCGTTACACAGGCTCAACCCTGCTTAGCTTCAGTGGACAACCAGTCTTGGGCTACAGGGTGATATGGCTGCTGGCTTCACAAAATTACTGTTTTTACTGTATTTTTGATCAAATCAATGAGTTGTATAAATGAATAAATGAGTGAGCATAAGAGACATTAAAAAAATCGTTCAATTATACTACATAATATAAATACAATATTATATATCAGGCCTAGAAATCCTTACACACTCAGGCACAGTTTACATATCACAGATCTGATTGGCTAAATTAGATTTTTTACCCCCATACATTAGGTTCTATTTCACTGACACACTCAGCATCCCTCACCGCAGCAAACTTGTGTCCGAAGCCGATCCATTCCTTCTCCAGCAGCACCTGGAAGCCCCTGAGAGTCCTGTAGTAGGAGTCCAGCATCAGCATGGACAAAGAGGTGAGCTGAGCTGTGCGGTCCCAGCCATCACTGCAGTGCACCACCACAGAGCTCTTACTCGACTCAACCTTATCTGCAATCCGCACTGCACCCGCAAGCAAAAGCTATAGAGAGAGAGAGAGAGAGAGAGAGAGAGAGAGAGAGAGAGAGAGAGAGAGAGAGAGAGAGAGAGAGAGAGAGAGAGAGAGAGAGAGAGAGAGAGAGAGAGAGAGAGAGAGAGAGAGAGTCAAATGCTTTAAAAGCATCTAATTGTCTTGCTTTCTGATTCTGACTCTTCTGGGATACTCGTAAACTTCGAGCGGAACTGACTTTATACATCTGCTAAATCCACTCTGTAAAAATGGAAGGGCTCAGAAAAGTTCTCACACCGTGTCTACACCAGATGCGAGCGGCTACGACAAAAGCGAATAGAATTCATTATAATCAGTGATGCTGTCTACGCGGGATGTGGTGCAGCACGACTGACGCCCGGTTCTATTTCTGATGTACTTCAAGTGCTCGTGCAACTTCTGACACAAAGAACAAATGGATTTGCAACAGTCGCTTTGTCATGTTCAGTGTGGACATTTTCTAGCTGTTGTGGCGAGATGCGACAACGGTCGCGTCTGGTGTCGAAACAGTGTCAGAAAGGTCTTGCATCATTTGTTCGCTAAATATCAGAAATGCTGTTTACCCGTATGTACTCCAGCCAGTGTGTGGCATCTATGGCCGAATGCCAGCGAGGTTCATCGATGGTGGGGTAGACCACCTCCTTCAGCTTACGCAGAGACTCTCTCATAACATGAATGTTTGGGATCTCCAGGAAAATCAGCTCCATGCTGGGGTAGAAATTTTTATTCTCATAACCTCCATCTTTAGCCTGAGGCATAAAAAAGCAGAAAATAGGTAGAGAAGATTCTTGGCTTCCATTTTCATCTCCTGACTAGCACAGATGGCTACTGAATAATTCAAATTACATTTGTGGAAAACAACATGTGCGTTATGTGTGATAGAGACACTTAAAAATCTTTTTCCTGCATTTCCCTTCCCTCTGCAACATTGATGAACTGAACTGAAAAAACATCAGTCAAGGAAATCACTTTTACCTTGTGATTATCAGCCACGGTGTTCTGCCGAGCATCAAATATGGTGAGTTTATGGGACTGTGCATTGGCATCCATGATGGTCTGGAGGTAATGCTCATCCTCCTTACACCGGCGGTCTGTCGGGCCCACCATGGGCTGACTACAGCGCACTATCGTGGCCTGGGTTTCTGGGTGGATCCATGACAGGACCTGAAAGAGGACGAGGTGCAGAAGTCCAGAATGCTTTTAAATGCTCAAGTGCCAATCATTTAAATAGTTTTTAAGCTTCTTCTTCTATTTTTTCTCCCCAGTTTCTCTGTTTTTTTACCTGATACAGGTATAAGATATCTGAAAAGCTTCCAGCTTTGTTGACTTCATTTAGATCTTTGTTCTATTGTTGTTTGTTTTTCTGCTTGCACTTAGCTTCTTTGTTCTTCGTGTTACTATTGACCACTTGAATAATTACTGAGAAAATTTCACCTGTATTAATATGCTACGAAAGTGAAGAAAAATGCCCCACAGGTCATCGTACTGCCACAGTGACCGGTAAGATTGGTAATCGGTAAGATTTTTTAATGTTTTTTAAAATAAGTCTCTTATGCTCACCAAAGCTAAATTTATTTGATAAAAAATACAGTAAATCATTAATATTGAAATATTATTACAGTTTAAAATAACTTTTTTTATATTTTAATTTATTTCGTCTGATGGCAAAGCTGAGTTTTCAGCATCATTACTCCAGTCTTCAGTGTCACATGATCCTTCAGAAAATATGTTGATTTGATGCTCAAGAAACATTTCTTCTTGTGCTTATTCTAATTTTTGTGAAAACAGTTATATGTACAGTATATTTTCAGTATTTAATGAATAGAAAGCTCAAAAGAACAGCATTTATTTGAAGTTCAAATATTTTGTAACATTATAAAAGTCTTTAAATGTCTTGCCCACACAGCCCACAGACACACATGCTCACTTACCGGTATACGATGTTTCATTCTGAAAGAGGCCACTCGTTTGATTTCATCCTCTTTAATACTGGTTGGGGTAACAAGCAGAGCAGGGTAAGTGTCACACACTTCATAATTACTGTTGATCTTACTGATTGTCCAGCTCTCATTGGGCAAACCCTGCAGACAGTGTGGAGACAGAAAAATGAGCAAAAAGAAATTCAAATTTTCAGTCAGACCACTCTACTCTTTTTTTTTTTTAAGCAACGTGCAAATCTCACCATTCTTTTATACTCTGCCACTGGATCATAAACCTTCCATCCATCCTCTGGAAATTGTTCTTTGTATTGGAAGGCGAATAGGGACTGGAAGAGAAAAAGGAGCAAATGGATTTGTGGAGACATGAACCAAACAGCACTGGAACCAATCACTACTTTGACTGGAGCAATGACGTACCAGCTCATTGGTCAGGGGGAAGGCATGCTTTGTCAAATCTTCTAAAATCTCCACATTATTCTGTTCCTCCTTTTTATAAGCAAACCTGGGACTCCTCATATCCTATTAAGACAGATCACAGATCATTAGCATGGAGAAATTACAGTTTTGGAGACTGAAATCAGACTAAATTGTAAATCAGATCTATTTTTGGCAGTTGCTTGCATTCCTCTCCGGTTGGCTTGACAGTATCGCGGAATTTCAATATTGAGGTTATTGCGACAGCCCTACCATGAATCAGTTAAGACAATAATTACCCCTATAGACCGTCTCTGTGTTTAATCCAAACACTGTGGGTGGATGTTTACTATAAGTGGAACAGACCAGCATGTGGGTGGATGGTGGTGCATCTGACCTTACAGACGATCTCCATGCCACTAGTATTCTCCCCATGACTCTGTACACCGATAGTCTCCAACCTGCTGATGGCACCCAGGTTCACATCCAATATGAAAGGAGCGTCCTGCATGAATGGAATAAGACATCTGCTTAACTTGAACATTTAATTTCATTGTGTGGCCATATCACAAAATATCAAGACACTACATTGATCTTGAAATAGACAAAAATATTTTGAGACGCACCCGTTCTAGACTGACAAAGTAGAGTTTGTAGTCTGTGACTGTGAGTGTGCCGGTCACAGCTCCAGTAAAAGGACAGATATACATCACATCTTTAACTGCAGAGACAGAAGAAAACAAATGTTACCCGACACGAGCAGATACAGGAAACAAGAATCAACATGAATGATCTGACATACCAGTGGTTTTGATTGTCTCTCCAGGGACAAGTGGGACTTCATCCATGGGTACTTGTTTTCGTGCATCCCTGAACACTTGCTACAGGGTAAAAAGACACCAAAACGTCTCAAAACACAAATAGCCCTCATTTTATTACGCTAAATATTAGGTTCATACAAAACCATTCAAAAGGTTGTGGTTAGCAAGATTTTTTTTTTAATGTTTTTGAAAGAAGTCTTTAAGGCGCACCAAGGTTGCATTTATTTGATCAAAAATACAGTTCAACAGTAAAATTGTGAAATATTATTACAATTTAAAATAACTGTTTTTCTATTTTAAAATACTTCAAAATGTAATTTAGTACGGTGTTGGCAAACCTCCGTTAATAACATCAGTCTTCAGTGTCACATGATCCTTCAGAAATCATTCCAATATGCTGATTTGGTGCTCAAGAAACATTTCTTATTATCACGGTTGAAAACGGTTGTACTGCTTAATATTTTTGTGGAAAAACTTCAAACAAACAGTATATATTTGAAATAGTCAATATTTTTACATGGTTACAAATAATGCGACTTTTGATCAATTTAATACATCCTTATTTAAAAAAACTTTTGAACGGTAGTGTATGTTTTATCACATTAAAATAGCTGAAACCATGAAGTCTAGGCTGATGTAAGGACTAGACAGAAAAGAGAGAAGGAGGAGGGTGAGAGTAAGCAAGTAGAGCTGAAGCGAGAGAAACTTGCCGTAGTGTGAGACGGCAGTTCAATGTCGCTGCCATCTTCACCAGAGTCCTGAGACTGAGCAGAGGCCGCAGGAGAAATACAGAATATGTGACGAAGAGAAAAAAGTTTGTTTAAAAGTTCCAGCAGTTTATAAAGAATATGAGGAACAGAAAGAGAAAAAATGCAACAGAGATAATAGTTGCGCTTTAGGGTTGAAAGGTCACATCCTCACACAGAGACAGGAAGTGTGATTTGAGGAGGCAGAGAACACAGAAAAAAATACAGCTGCTCAGCCATCACTGCTACACTAGTACATCTGTGCGAATGCCAACTAAATAATTCAAATGTATGTTCTGATGTGTTTCTGTGCAGATCTCAGACTCTTGATCTTGAGCCTTACCCTTAAGTTTGGCCTCCTTGACACCTGGAGATCACACATAGACATCAGACAAAAATGAGTTACAAACACACGCACTTTCATGAACATGTAGGCACAAAAGCACGCAGACTTAACACACATTAGACTTAATCTTAGCGAAAATGTCATATTTTACTCCAAAAAAATTAAGCTTATTTTTTAGGACTAATAATATGTATTGAGTAACCTATATATAATGTAAAAAAATGTGTTAAAAATCATATTTTTTTTAAATTGTCAAGTGCATTTGTAAAGAACAATGTTAAGTAGCTATACGTGCATTACTGTATAAAAGCGTTGAACTTTTTAAAAAAGATTAATACTTTTATTCAACGATACATTAAATTGATTCAAAATTGACAGTAAAGACTTTTACATTGTTACAAAAAAATTGTAAAAATAACAATGAACTGGATTTTTTTGTGACCAGCAATATTAATTGCATGCATATTATTCTTACATTTGATAAAAACAGATTAGAAAAGAGCAAAAGCTTGTCTATGGCGGGCGGCACCAGTTGTATCCTAAAAACAGACTTTATTTTGTATGCAAATTATTAGGTTTTTTTCTTTTGAATATGGTGTGAAATATGACGAGACATTTCTTCATTTAACAGCTGGATGAAGCATAAACAAGGGCTTATGAACAAAGGACAAACATGTAACTGTACAAAAAGACAGTGTGCAAAAAACAATAAGGAAAACATACTAAGTGTGCACAAACAGTATATATATATTTGTGGTGTTAAGTATAATCTCTAATTTATAACTCAAAGCAGGGCAGAGCAGTGGTCCTGTTAAAGCAAACTGACAAACACCCCACTAGCATCAATCACCCTTACCCTGAAATCTATCTTCTTCCCAACCTGTCAATCAAAAACACAATATCATAATGGCTCACTCTGAGACAAAACACTTAACAAAACTGGTCCACGTTCATTCTGAATACCATGTTTCCAAACTTAGAATTAATCTACTACACAGTAAGACAATAAAATCGAATCTTTTTCATTTTAACGCAACTCAAAATTTCACTTCCAATCCATACGTTTATTTAGTAAGCAATAGTGTAATAAGTGAGATCATGTACAGTCAGCTGGTCATTATCACAAAACAAACCCATTCATGGTTCCTTATTAACATAAAAAAAACCTTTACTGTGTGATAAGAACATTTAAAAGGCAGCTATATAACTTATGTATATATAACTTAAGACTCAATTATACTGTGAAAAATAATCATTATAAATAAGTGTAAAATATTATTTGGAAAATAAATAGTTTGTTTTTTCTACTTACTATAGAGCATTATTTATTTGTTTATTTGGCAACTTTACAATAAGGTCTCATTCATTAACATTAGTTAACGAACTAACAATGAGCAAATATTCAGCATTTGTTAACCTTTGTTGTTAGTTCACAGTGCATTGACTACTGTTAACAGATACAACCTTTGATCTTAAAAATGTATAAGTAAATCTTGAGAATCTAATCTATATCATTTTTATTATATCATTTTATTTCAATTTTTTTATTTAACACTTATTAATTTTGATCTATTTTGTATTATTTATTCATTTATTAAAATTATATATATATATATATATATATATATATATATATATATATATATATATATATGACATGCATATTTTTGTGTCCAAGTGCATTATTTCCTTTTAAAATAATTTTATAAAATCATGAGATACAGTATATACTTTATTCTATAAAACCTATTTAGTTTGAATTCATTTTAAGTACATTTAAATAATACATATTCTTTTGATTTGTTATTTTAAACCCCCAAAATGTCAGTTGGTGCAACTGTCCAAACAAATGTACAGAACTAAGAAAACTATTTAAAATGGTGTCTTAATAATAAGAAATTAAAAACTTTTTAGGTTTGAAATCTTTCATATAATTTTATAGTTTCATATATTTTAAAGGGGTCATATTTTACAAGGGTGCACTTTTTCAAGTTGATTGTACTGAAATGTGTGTTGGCAGTGCCTGTACACAACCATCATATAATGATAAAAATCCATCCAGTGTTTTTGTTTTAATCTCCTTATATGTTTCCCCTGCCTCAAATTGAGCCGTTCGTTTTTGTGACGTCAATAAAACGGACGCCCCTCCCACGATTGTTGATTGACAGCGTTTCAACACAGACCCGCCCTGAGCGAGCTGTCATCATAGTCCGGCATTGTTAATACGCTGGAGCAGAATGGCGTCTAAGCGATTGTGGTGTTCTGTTCTTGGGTGTAATAACGAACAGAGCAGTCATTTTAATGTTCCTAAATCCAAACCGCTGAAGACGCAGTGGCTGAGTTTTGTTTTCAAAGGGAATATTGCCCACGAGCAACGTCAATGCTCTCATGTTCGCGCGAATCATTTCTCACCAGACTGCTTTATAAACGACGGTCAGTTTAAAGCTGGTTTTGCTAAGAAGCTGCTCCTGAAAAAAGAATCGGTACCAACTATTTGTGTTCCCTCTGCACCTCCAGAAGAAGTAAGTGTAAAGTTTTATTAACCTTTGCAAATCGCGAAAAAAAGTTTTTCATGACCATTAGTTGTAACGTCAATCTGTCAATGAACTAACGAATACATCAGTAAACACATAGCGTTCGTATCTCACTTCTCTACCCTGCCAGTACATACAAAAATAGATCAAAGTGACATTACGTTAACCAACCATTCAGAAACGTCCTGTTTGAGCCTTAAAGTCCCCGTGAACCGGAAGTTGCAAACGACTTTTCTCCAGTGTTGTGACGTATTTCCGAGAGAAATGGAATACTAAATGAGGCAAAATAGTGGGCGTGGCTTTTTTTCCCAACTAGCACCTGATTGGATCTAGAAAAGTTGGTGTTTCATTCAGAAATGGAGGCAGATCTTAAGGCAAGTTTACAATCGGTTGTTGAGGATTACTCGCCGCCTGAAACACCGCCAGCAGTGGTCACCTGGACGTGGCGGCTCAGGAGCAAGTTCACACTCGCGAGCATCTCGATGTGTCCCAATGGTAACACTAATTGGAACTATAAAACTATTTTTATTTGCTATTACTGCTGCAACCTTAACCGTTATGATAGTAACCTGCGTGTAACTCACTAACCCGTGAGTGCGACAACCAAAAATGCACCTCCTCGCCATCTCTCCTCTCACACACTGTCAATGCTCGCAAACACACAGGCAGCCTGTCAACTGTCAGTTGGAGGGGCGTGGTTACGGATGTTAAGCAGACACCTAAACCGTCAAACCTACGTCATCAGGGAAGGTCCTCCAATGCAGAGGGGAGGGGAATTTTCAGATTTTGATTAAAGATTACGAAGCCAAAAATATTTTTGGTGTGGATTGACTTGCATGGATGAATTGTTTACCACAAAACGATCAATTTATGCAAACAAAGTAAGTATGGTCAATTTTGAATTCATGGGGACTTTAATTGTCGAACTTCTTTGCGGCCGTCATCTTGTTCCGGGTGCGACTCCGGTTCAAACTGATACGGTTGCACAGATGTGTCCTCAGAGACTCCCGCTGCCATTCTCTCTCCAAAATATACCCTCAACTGTTGTCAAGGCAACACTCCACGTGTGTTGTGTGAAAACGCCAGTAGAACAGAGGGGCGGAGTGAGCAAAGCTCATTATCATTTAAAGGCATCTGCACTGAAACGGCGTGCTGAAAACAGAGCTGTTTTTGACCAGGTAAAATAAGTGTTTTCTTAAAATACTAATGAGAATTTTTAATAAAAGTATATTACAAAGTTTTCATTTAGACCCTAAACATTCATATTAACTAAACAAAAATGGCATTATATGACCCCTTTAAGAAATATCAGTAGTTTTAGCAGTTGATATAACTGAAAAACTTTCGTCCAGCAATTTGTATATTCTCAAATGTCAGGGTGGCAAACATGGCTCTTTCATTATGAATTGACAAGGTAATAACAGTAAACATGATAATGCATCATCCAGAGGAGCCAAACTGATTCTTGTGGCCGAGTGAAAAGGTTTGTAGAGCTCTCTCAAATACTGGTAAAAACTGCTAATTTTAAGTGTGGGTAGGTTTGTACATTTTCCATGTCAGGTGGTACAACTACAGTATATATACATACTATATACATCTATTTGGTTGTATTGCCTGACATAAAAACAGTCAAAAAATTAATTTAAACACCCTTATTATGTATTTATTCTTTCACTGTTTTCCCCTAAAACTTCCTTGTGGGCCCCTGGGGGAACCCAGTTTGAAAACCCATGTTCTAGACAATACGGGTCTGATTTAAAGTGAAAAACATCCTTAAAACACCCTAAAGTGAAAAACACACCTTGCATTCACGGATAATGGCTTCTGGAGGGACACCGCCAGAGATCTGGCTGGAGATAGTGGCCGCTATCAGCTGTTTACACCATTCCACATGAGATCCAGATGGACTGTATGAGGAAAAAACAAGTAACGTTAACACATAACACACTTGAGCAAGCACTTCAGTCAATGCATCTGCCATTCTCTGTGATGATGAAAAACTAAAGACTCCATACTGGCATAGTTAGATAGATGCATTAATGTGCAGCGCTGACATCCTGTGGTCTGTAGACTAAAGATGACAGATGGTGATATGAGGTCAGAGAAATGTGTCACACACAGTCTGATCTTTTAGAGCCGAACAATTAAACGACATAGCCTAAATTGTATTTCTTCAATCCAGGCTTTAAAAATGTTTTGCTTCCTAGGTGTTTTAGTTAATGTATCACTTCTTGGTAGCAAAAGCAATAACCTTAAAACGATGATGGGAAGATGCATGCTGTTTCGGGTGGATAGAAATCATTCACAGTTTTAATACAAATGGTTTTGATTCTAGTATTATTTGAGCAGAAAACTTTAATGTACTACAGTACATACTATAAATACAATTAACGTTAAACTATAATGTACTACAGTATAGGGCAATATTTGAACAATAGGCATATGGGGCTCATCTACCCTACACAACAGGCGTGCATGTATAACGCGCGTGCACACTGTAAATCGCTTTTTTTAACGAAAAGTTCACATATAATCGCACATTTGAGGATAAAACCAAGACATGCACCTGTCTAATGAATCCTCGCTGTCTTGTCGAGATGCAGGGATTCCTCCTCCGAGGATTTGAGGTTTTCGCGGCACCGGCGGCAGCACCGGACTGTCCGAACCTGACGAATGCTGCTGTTTCTCCATTTCCCAGCTTCCCGAGCTCCGTCTAGTAAAATGTGACTGTCTTTTAGCTTCCTCCAGTCCGAGAGCTGAATTTCTGTGTTTAGGAAGTCATCTCTATGTGGCTTGTACGTGTGCAGAAGTCTGTGGTTGTCTCTCTGCTTCCTGCTCTGATGCTGCCGCTCGCTGACAAATAGCGTTTCTCTTTATTTATGTCAAGGAAGCAGCCATGACGAAACCCCCCTGCCGCCAAAACCCATATTTAGATCGCAAGTATATCGGCGCATAATATACACAGTGCTGGGTAGTAACGGATTATTTTATACATGGTTACGTTATTCTTACAATGGCAGTAAATGTAAAATTTCTTTCTAAAAAAAACCCCATCACACTAGGCACGAGCCGATCACTGAAAGCTGAGAGCCACAGCATTTGATCACTGCATTTACAGAAATCATTTCACTTTTAGGAAGTGTTTTCTCAACATTTCATATTTAATCAACTCCTGACAAACATATTCATTATTATTTGAATGATCACCCAGTGAGTCATTTAACCAAGTCTTTGGAAGGCTTTGCCTTTTAAACACATTAAAATGTACAAACTCACATCATTTTATATTTACATGCAAAGCAGGAATTCACCAACTTTTTTCATCTGAAACTCTTTGGCTAATATATTTACTTGAAGAACCCCCTGAGATTGTATGTTAACAAGTTATGTCAATACAAATTAGTTCAGTGTGCTCTGATGTCGGTTAATGGTCACATGCAGGTAAACAAATTTTTATTTTTATTTTAAATCTTTTTTTAGTAAGTGGTTCATTTTGATTGTTTTTATTTCAAAATTATTTTCATTTGTGTGTGTGTGATTTAATTAATCATTAATCATAAATTTCATTAAACTCACAAACCCCAGTCTGGAAAACCCTGATGTAAATAAGGGTAATGGACATAAGTAACAAGTGTGTGTGTGTGTGTGTGTGTGCATTTGAATAGGCAAAAATGCACATCTTAATGGCAATATACTGTGATGTTATTTCCATCAAGAAGTGCAGACATTTTTGGTCAAGATTTTGTATTGATAAAGCAAGAGTCGAGCACTCCGCAAAGTCTTCTCTAAGACATCCCAAAGACTTTTAATGAATTTAAGGTCTGGATTCAGAGGTGCCAATTCATGTGTGAAAATGATTCTTGCTCATGCTCCCTCTCAACCATTCTTTTACAATTTGAGCCTGATGAATCTTGACATCGTCATCCTGTAATATGGCCATGATGTGTCTTTCTACATGGTTGTTTAAGAAATGAAAAACTACACACTCCCTCAGTTAGGGTTAGAAGAACTGTTGTCAACATATAAGATGCTAGAAACATAATCACTGCAACAAAGATCTAATCATAGACTCTTAAGCATTTGCCTATTTAAATCCATACTACTGACTTTTTTGGCCTGACAGCATGCGTGTGTGTGTGTGTGTGTGTGTGTATATATATAGCTTTACACACATACATATTGTGCTTACACGTATTTATTTTCCTCAGAATTCATGGATAAACAATATCAATATCTACCTATCTATCTGCAGTGACATGCCTACAAAGATATTCTGGACTGATATGAGTTGAGGTCTTGAGGAAAGGCCTGAACTTTCTTTTACGAAAACCAATATTAGCTATTAAACTGGTGAGAGTTTGAAACACAAAAACTGCTGTAGAATATTTCCTTGCTGATATGGTATTGCATCGTCGGTTAAAAACACAGACACCTCACTTTTCGTACATTTCTGTGATTTTAAATAAAAAAAGAACATTGCAATAGATGATTTGTGGCATGCACGTCATTAATATAACCCAGTAAACATCTGTTTACTTTTTAGCTCAGGCTTGTCTTTATAACTATACTGTATTCAGATCACTGCCATAGTAGATATGATGATTAATTTGGTGATTAGAGTATGCATTTTCATTGCACTCATTACATGCTAGGCTAGCAGGTCTTGAATAACCTTTTTAAATGTTATCAGATTCACACTAGGAAAAATAAATAAATAGCAAAGGGTGGTTTATACAATGGCGTTTTATAGCACTGTAAGCAACCTTCAAACAGGCCGCTATGTCAGAATCAGAATGCCTGGGCGTACAATAATCAGCATAGTCTTTTCCATGTGAACTCTTTAAATTAATTTAATCAGCATTATGTACAGAACAATAGCTGGCCAACAAATAAAGGATACATGTGGGAATACAAAACACAAATAGATCCCTTTAAACTATTATGTCTAAATTAAGATAATGTCAGGACAAAAAAAAAAAAAAATCAGAGTGCAGCTTTCCTTCAACCAATCTCATGCACCAAGCAATTTGATTGAGAAAAAGATTTCCCTACTACAGAATCAGATCGTTTTCAGATCTTTAAAATGTTACAAAGCAAAATGAAATGCCCATTAAAAAAAGAAAATGATATATATATATCAACAAATTACCTACAATTACCAAATCCAACCAAAACATTTTTTTTTCTAATTACTTTCCTTTTTATAAAACTGTCAAATTTTACACTGAATAAAATAATTATATTTTACAACAATAGAACTTTCAACAGTAAAATAGGTTTTTGTTTGAGGTAATTACATAGTTCTGGTACTTGTACAAAATAAAAAATAGATTTCTGTCTTATTCCCCCCCTAAAAACAACCAACCGCAAATGGTTTGTTTGTTTATTGAACTTTTGTCTTCTTTGCACACTATGGTTTGAACTTCATATCCTCATTGAGGTCAAAGTCTTTAGAAGTTCAGTTTTCCGAGGCAGCATAATCAATGACTCTCCTCTATTCCCCCCGTGTCAGTCACAACTCTCTTCCTCAAGAAAAGACTGAATTTGGAACAGCACAAACATACTAATTTATATCACAGCCACTCCATCTTTCCCAAAAGACTTTGCAGACTATGCTGCGTCTCGTTGGGAGCAATACTGTCAGCTCCATCAGAAACAAAATATTTGCTTTCCGTGGCAACTGCATGCCGTTTTAAGGGGTATAACCCAAAGCCACTAACATGTAGGGCCTAAAATTGTTCAACTCCCAAACCTCAGCAGGGGAGGAAACAACCGGTCGCTCAAACGCACAGTGGATGATGCTGCCATAAAGGAAAAAACAAAAAAAAACAATGTTTCTCTATAAAATATACACCTGAAAACCTCAAATATGAGTAAAGGCACCGAAAAGGTATCTGTATCGCTCGCTTAAAAAAACCCTGGTTCTGTTATTAATGTTAAACTAATGTTAATCACTTCAGAACATTTTCATTCCATATAGTACACTCACATGAGCAGCAAATGACCTTTACGGAGAGAAAAAATAAGACATTTAGACAACATATTTGCTTCCTTTACCTTATTTGAGTCAAGCAGTTAAACCTCGCATAGTGACCAATGAAATGATTGCTCTACCAAAGGTTGAAGACCCTGCTTGACACTAGATTGACTGGACACAATGTAGACTAAAGTTTACAACTCCGTAAACAAGACCAGCACTCTTTGAACACCTTTTAAACAATCTTACCACTGCTCAACATTCAGAAATGTTCTGCACTCAGATCTAGACACTTTAGAACCCTGATAACACACATAATGCAACACATATCACATACGTCCGTCTGACTTGATCGCTTTCATTCGTCATTTGACCATTCCAAACAGTATCCAAGTGGTTTCTGGCACACACACACACACACACACACACTATTTGACTTACTTTCGTCCATGGTATACGGCACGAAAAAACAGCACTGTCACTTTAAGGCTTCTCTTTTCGTTTAACTTGTTTGTTTTTTTGCGCAATGAAGGCCGTACTGTGGTTTATTGCATAATTGGTTTGTTACTCTTATCGTCGACATCACTACTAATCGTGTTACCATAATTATCACTATTGCTATGTACAAATGTCCAATGTCTGTAACAGGTTGCGAGTGTGATCAAAACGGTGTTTGTAAGTGTGTGATGTGCTGATTGGGCGTGGCAGCATTGGGGGTGGAGCTGTTTGTCAAGTGGGTGGAGGAAGGGGCGGAGTCTGAGAGCTGTAGCTCCTCCAGTTTCTTCAGGTACTGATCCCTCAACGCCAGTAGCTCCTTATAGCGCTGCTCCACGGGACTCTGTTGCTGATAGGCACAAATATACACAAACATTCATACATGTGAAGTGACATCCATGTCAAAAATCCACCAGAGGGCAGCAAAAACACTCTTTGACTTCAAATAAGGAAAACGAATCACATCTGCATCACAAAACATTTTTGATGCAAACAAGATGTTGGAATACTAGTTCTAAGACAAGCATTTTTGCATTATTCTATAATTTGCTGGATAATTATGATAAAAATATGCAATATAATCCTCAAAAAAGGCACTTTGGTCTGTACACATTACATTTGTTTGTTTTCATTGGTCTATTGTTTTTGTCGCATTTAATTTGTATACTGGTAAACAGCATTAATCATTGTTATGACTAATGTGGCAAAATTCTTATGCATGCCAATACTGGAGTGGCTTCTGCAAAACCACTGTGATAGAATGTGTGTGTGTCGGGTGATAAGGACAGTTTGAGTGACAGTTCACTGCAGTGCCAGAACATAATTAAACTGGAGAGAGAGGATTTTCTGCACCGCTGAATCGGGTACGCACACACACAGATAAACACTCAATCCCACCCAGAGGCAAAAACACCCACTATAAAAAGATGCACATGCTTTTTCCCCCTTTCCAAGATCGGTTTGTATAAATGTATACTCCAAATATGTCAGCTTAAATAATGCTTACCATCATACAAAAGCTAAAGAAACTACAACCTGAAGGCCTGTTCACACCGGGACGAATTTCGCGCGCGTTATTCGCCGACGTTTAACGCCTCGTGACTAAACAAAGGGCGCCAATGTGAGTGTTCACACCAACGCGTAAAACGCCACGCGTAAAAGCGTCATTTTTTTAAAAACGCCTCGGGTTCGTTTTTTTGGTTTGACGCGCCGCGTCAAAAACTATCCGACCAATGAGATTGGCGCTTTTGCTCACGTGTCTGGAGCTTCTGAAGTTACAGTAAAACATAACTTGGGGGCGCTCAAACACAAAACGGTCTTGCCGAGCACACATACGTAATGGCGAAGAAGATATACAGCGTCTACACTCTGCCGGGAAGAAATAAGACGAGGAAGATGTAAGGCTAGATGAGTAGAGCTGCTGGTCTTGTTGGTGTCTTTATAAAGAGACACCAACGACAATAAAGAACCATATAACAAACGCGACAAACTTGCTCTCTTCTTCTGAGTGACAAGCGAGTGTCAGAAGCGTAGTTGCGCAGCGCCACTTTGTGGACCGGGGTATTTCTGTTTTACATTAAGCGCCATCTAATGTCAGGGAATGAATTTGCGTGTTCACTCGGCTCATCGTCAGCGAAAATCGCTTGGGTGTGAACACAAAAAACGCGTTGAAAAACGCTGACGAATAACGCGAGCCGATATTCGTCCCGGTGTGTACAGGCCTTGATTGTGAAATGTATGTCCATACCTGGTGCTGTATGCGAGGGTTCCACCGGATGTAATAGGTCACCCACAGCTCTAGGTGGCGCATGCTGGCTACAGGGTAAAGCACGCGACTTGACTCTGGTGTGTAGAAGGGGTTTATATACAAGGATGTGTCACTGTTGATCAAAGACCACAGAGACACCGTCTTCACCCGAACATTCTAGTGAAACAATATGGACAAAAGAAAAATCAGAAAGGTGGTATTTTGAATAAACACTAATCTGTTATTTAAAGTGAATCTTAAGTACTATATATAATATATACACATACCCACATTAAAGTACAGGTGATTTAAAAATCAGCTGTTAAGCTGTTGAATATATTAGTAATACAAATGGTAAGGTGTCAAATCCTTTGGTTAGCAGTAGATAAAGTGGGACTGTGCACCCTAACGTTGTTGCAGTGGACGGCTCTATAGGGCCACCAGAATGAATGTTTCATCTCCCCAAAGTGCGTCCTACTCCGACTGAGAGTCAGTCAAGCATCCCTTTTACTCATGCTCTACTTCACACAATGAGCGCAGAGAGAAATAAAAGGCAATGTGTGCATGCGGGAGAAAGAAAGCAAAGGCCAATATACTATCCTACTGATGACAAGTCGCCTCAAATAGGCAGTGAAGAAGATAAGATTTTAGAGATTAAGAGACAAAGGTGTGATTAAGTTAAAGAAAGAATAGTACAGTGGAGCACAATTTAATAGATCTAGGCTATACTTCCACAATGCATGTATCAGTGATAGATCAATATAGAGTGAGGTTCAAAAGTGAGAGCACATTGAAAATCTGAGGTTCAAAATCTAATTTAAACCAGAAAAATAGTTTTTTTTTTCTATATCATGATATTAAATAGTCAAATGTATTAAGTTTTTAAATCTAACTTTTCACTCACTTTTTTATAAATATAAAAAAAGCAAAAATGGAAGCATTTTCACAAATGATCTTACATCTTTAGACGCTACTGCATCTTCATGGCCGATTAATCAGTATTTTGTTTACATCGTCTGATACATCATTCATTGGACACTATATATAATAAAAACATTTTTTGTCTAAGACAGATTAGAGCTGCATGACTCTGGATAAATTGAGAATCACAATTTTTTTTTGTTTTCAAACAGAGATCAAGATTCTCCCACAATTCTGAATAGACAACTAAAGGTTTTGACAAAATGTTAATTGCTGCAGTATTTAAAGTGCCCCTATTATGCTATTTTAAAGTTCCCTAATGTTGTTTTGTAGTCTCCTGCAACAGGTTTACATGCATCAATGATCAAAAAACTGTTTCATTTTCTCATAATATACATTTGCACATCACCACATTTTCAATGAGTCTCAAACGACTCGTCAGATTAATCAATCTCTCTAAATCCCTTCTTTCCGCGAGCTGCTCTGCTCTGATTGGCCATACAGCTCAGTCTGTTGTGATTAGTCTACCACGTGCAGCGCGTGTGTCGAAAACAAAACCGCCCATTGCCATAACAACATTGAGGCTTCCTACACCGTAAACTAAACACAGTAACGAACAATGACGTTGATTTTACCATATCCATCCTAGCGCGAGTCCGATGATGAAACATTGGAAGAACTAGTTATTCAACCCGAACCTCCATCGCAAGGACGACTCGAGCAGAACGTTTCTCAGTGATACGCTACTCAGTTTGAGGTACGTTATGAGATGTTGCAACTGTAATTCCTCACCATCAGCATTAACAAGTGCATGTCCATCAAACAAACCGATTATTTTACTTGTACTTATTTATTTACCTAGTATTTTTCTAATTTATTGCGGTGAACATGTGGAAACTGTATCAATAACAGTGCATACATAAGCCAAGCTCTAGCATGAATGACTGATGTAACAAACGTTCGTAAAACAAATCTTGCTCCATGTTACTCAAAGTGGAAGTGAGAACGACAGCTAATCTGCATTAATAGACACCGTTTTAGGTAATAGTGGCCCACAACTGATCAGCAGAAGTATTTCAGTAAGATAGTAATAACATGAGTTAGCCAGTTAGCAGGAGACCTACACAATATAAAACTCAAAGCTAAGTATTTTGAGCACCATCTTTCAAGAGCAAGCGGTTTGCGAATCCTGCATTGAACTCCGAGATTTGAGAAGCAGTCGTCAGTAAAATAAAGGGAACACAGCAAAAGTTTAGGATTATACTGCTGTGGTATCATGGTAAAGATGAATTTTAACCACTGATTCTTCACATGCTCGTCCTTGGGCAGTGATTCATTTCATTGACTCAGAGTCGACTCTTACTTTTGAAAGACAATAGCTTTATATACGGTGCACTTTCAGATTTAAAACTTTGCAGAATGTTTTCATTCTTTTAGAGCTATGTTACACACTAAATGAAAGGTCATTTTCAAAAATCCATAAAAGGGGCACTTTAAAGTCCCTGTAAAGGCAATTCTAAAAAAAAAATCTAAACCCATTATAAATGTTAGAAATGTATTGCTAAAACATATTACAAAGACTGTGAACTGTGAATTACTGAATTGTGGAGTTAGACCGTTAAACAGTTTTTCACCATTGCTATTTTCCGGATTTTTTGGGCGGGGCTAAAACGGGGCTCGATGACGCACTGGAGCCCCTGAGCTCCTGGACACGCCCCTACTTGATGACGCACTGAGGCCACTCAATGTCAGTACTATTAGTTGCTACAGCCTACAGTTTGCTAGCTAGCTATGCCTTCGACACGGAAATGCGTAGGCTGCTACCTGGATGCGATCATGTACAAAACAGATCGGTGTCTTTATTTAAATTTCCTAAAAACGATCTCATCAAGAAGAGGTGGATTAATTTTGTGAAGAGCCAACCTTGATGGAGAGCTGAGGATCACCGCCAACACCCGCCTCTGTAGCGATCATTTTACACGGGATAGTTTTATAAACTTTCGTCGGAGACAACTGGGATTCACTGATAATCCGCTGTTACTGGTGAATGGGGCCGAACCGACTATCTCCCGCCTCGGCCTTCATCTCCCCGTCCCGAAAGCAGTATCACAAATATCACCGTCGGCTGCTTTCCCGCGAGTGGGCGTGGTTTCAGCGCAGCCAGCGGACACGCCCCCAGCGTTTGAGAGCAGAGACTACTGCTCATTTTTTCAAGATTTCGATAGCTTATTTTATGTACTTGCCGGCTTTCTTTTATCATTCAAATTTGTCTGGGTGGCTAATAACACATTTTTCTGTGGTGTGACAAACTCAGAACACATACTTAGTTTTTACTTTACAGGGACTTTAAAATATTTAATTAATCTGAATTATTTCAAAAACTCGGTTTGAATGATTGATTCAACGACGATAAATAATTCCCTTGTTTCATTGCTGGATGAATTAGCATTTTTGAACGAATCTCTTGAATGAATGATTCAATGACAAATACATTTTTTATTTGCTCTATTTTTATAGCTTCCATAGACCCATAGCTTTCCATAGTTTCATACCTACACATGATAAATGCTTTGTCTGGGTCAGAGGCAGCGCCAACACAGATATGAATGTTCTGATGTGATTTTGTCAAAGGTTTAAAAGACAGGCGTTCATTGTCATTTAGGAATGAGATCAGATGGGTGTTTGAATGAGATTGCGATCTTTTAACGATTAATCGTGCAGCTCTACACATTGTGGTCCAGTTTGTATTAAAGATAAGGGAAGTTCAGGGCTTGTATATCAATGTGTATCAATGATGTGTGTTTGTTACTTCTTACATTGCTTTCACGAGCGCTCTCACAGTTGTAGAGGAACGTGCCAAAGCGGCAGCTGTACAGGTGATCCAAGATTACTACCAGGAGACGTTCATTAAACTCAAACGCTGTTGGGAACTGCAGATGTGGGAGAGGGATAAAAGTTAAACAGATTTACTCACATTAAACTCTAAATACCTGTAAACTCTGAAGAACAAAACACATAGAAAATGTATTCCAAATCTGTATGATTTGGTTTCTTTTGCTGTACACAAAAAGAGATATTTAGAATAAAATAGCTGCCACTTAAGATGCTGTTTTCCATGAATATAACTAGCTCCAAAAACCGCAAAGAGTACCATACAAGTACGTAATACTACTGCTGGCGACATATAATAGCTCTGTGAGAAATTTAAGTAATTATTCAGTTCAATCTCATTCAATGTTACATATATTAAACTGCCACATAAAAATGGATTGCACCAGGCTTGATGTCAATGATGCTGACTGCCGCAGGTTCTCGTGTGTTAAGGTGCGGTCACATTTACCATTGTTTTCAAGGATTTTTGCAGGGATGAAATCTAGTCATTTTATTAGGCACATATGTTTGAAGAACATTTGTGTGAAGAACAAAAAAAAAAACCTTTGCTGTGCGTGTATCTGGGTCTCAGCATCAGTATCCACATTGGTTAGATGGAAAACAGCAATTCAGACATTATAAAAAATACCTCCTTTTGTGTTCCACAGAAAAAGAAAAAAAAAAGGTTTGCAGAAGCATGATATGACATGACATGGTTAGACAATTATATCCATACCTGTTTAGTCATTTGCCACACGCAGTCAATAAATTGCAAAAAGATAGGTGACCGGTCCTGATCTGCATGGTTTTTGTCTCCATGGCCGATTCTCTACACACACACACACAAAGTATGACATAAATACCAACTGATAACGATTATTTCTCTTTTTTTTTTACACAATACAAAATCTAACACGGAGGTTGTAGTTCACCCTTAATTATACTCTATCAAGTCTATCAAAGCAATCACCCTGATATCATGGTTGATAGAACTCAAACTCCATCACTAAATTGTGTTGTTTTGCAGATGCAATACTTTGTAAACTCAGTTAAAACTCACTGAGGCGAACTTGTGTCCGAAGCCGATCCACTCCTTCTCCAGCAGCACCTGGAAGCCACCGAGAGTCCTGTAGTAGGAGTCCAGCATCAGCATGGACAAAGAGGTGAGCTGAGCTGTGCGGTCCCAGCCATCACTGCAGTGCACCACCACAGAGCTCCCAGAAGACACCTTATCAGCCACCTGGATGGCCCCTGATAGCACCAACTAGAGCAGGAAGGTAGATAGCTACATTAGATGATATTAAGTTTTATAATATATATTGGTATGCATGAAAAAACCAACCTTAATATGCTCTAGCCAGTGGGTGGACTCCAGGCTGGAGAGCCAATGAGACTCCTCCACATTGGGGTAGACAATGTCCTTTAGCTTCTTCAGTGACTCTCTCATGACATGGATATTATGGATGTCTAGAAAGACCAGCTCAGCGTTCTGATAGGCATCGTCGCCCTCGTAACCCCCACCCGTGGCCTGGAGGGTAAAGGTAGAGAGGTCTACCGGTTATGATATGTGATCACGTAAACGAGAAATTCTGCACACTTGCATTCACACTTCATGTACCAAAACACATTGTGCAAGAGAAATTATTGGATCAAAAATGCCATTTCAAAATGCTCTGTCAGCGGTGTTCAGCTTGGCAAAGCACCTCTGTGGTGGTCCACTTTTTGATTTTAATTAGTCTGGCAACACACAAAACCTGAAAACATACTCATGCAAGCACACCGTTTTGTTTATTTTATACAAACCAAGAGTCCAAGTCTGACTGGGAAACAGTAACCAGTCCATACCTTCAGTGGATAATGCCATATGTTAGAAATGAGGTAAACAAAAAAGTGTTTTTTCATATTCAAAAACTCTCAAGAACTTCTTGGAGATGAATTTGAATATCTTAGGTCTTCCAATGATCCCCATTTATTAGTGACCTACTGGAACCTAACCTTGTTTGCCACAGCGTTGACGTTAGGCCTGGCGTCATAGATGGTGAGTTTGATAGTGCTGTTGGTCTCACGGATGATGTCCAAATATCTTTCATCATCTTTGTTGCGCTTGCCGCTCATGCCCACCAAAGGCTGGCTACACCGCGTGATCACAGCATGGTTCTCTTTATGGAACCACGACAACACCTGAGAGTGGAAGGAAACCCATCATCATCATCATCACAGATGGTTAGGTAATCACCGAACATACAACAATTTTTTTTGTAAGAATCTCTAAAAAGGTAGAAGACAAGAAAAATTAAAGAACGTTAACAACCTCTAGGGATGCACAATATGCATCTGTACCATATCGGTTTATTTGCCAATATAAAACATTTTACTTATTGGTATCTGTTGATATTGTATATTGTCCATATTTAATTTAATATGCTTACTTCCTAATTTTAACATTTAATTTATCTTTAATATTTTTCATGTACATGTTATAATGTATAAAATTACTGACTGCAGCTTTTAGTGTTTTATTATTTGATTTATTTAGACAAAATATTATAGAATTTTAATGTCGGCCATTTATTGGTTATCATTCATAACGTGAAAATAATTATTGGCTTATTGTATCAGCCAGACGTGTAATATTAGTGCATCTATGATGTTCATCATAGAGATATCTATAAATATCCAACCACATACTGTACATGAAGGTAAATGTATTTGCCTTCTAATTTATAAATCTGAAAAGCCCTGCTTTCTTTTTTACATGAAAAGGCTGACATTCTCCACTACACAGCCTTTTCCTTATGCAACAGAAGCTTGAATTTGACCTTCCAACAAGAATCCCACCATTATTCTGACCTTTCATACTGCTCATCTGTAAAAGAGCTCACCGGAATGCGGCAGCGGGAACGGAAGGTAGCGACTCTTCTAAGATCTTCGTCTGTGGCCTTGTATGGAACAACAAGAATTGTGGGATAAGTGTCACACAGCTCGTAGTTCTTATTGATGAAAGTGACCCTCCACTCACTATTGGGTAGACCCTGACAAACAGAACAGCAACAACACATATTCTTTAATGCAAGTATATTGTGCACTATGTATTGTCTTACGCAATTACATTAGCAACATATATCATATCATATCAATCGCAATTGTAAGTGAATGGTGAGTGTGAGCGGGATGCACAAGGGCAGCACGACCCTTTCTAAACAAGCACAAGTCCTTGCATCTGGTCCTCACCTGCCTCCTGTACTCTTCCAAAGGCTCATAAACGTTCCAGCCATTCTCCTCATACTTTTCCTGACTCAGAAAGGCAAAGAGTTGCTGTGAGAGTCAAAGAAACAGAAAAAAAGTGAAAGAGTCAGTTATACCAGTATTTCATACATTCAGCTACTGATGAAAGCTGGTTGTGAAATGCTGAAACATTGACAACACTTAATCGCACTGTATAAAATGCAAGGATTAATGTTGTTTCAAATCATTTTTAATGACTGTGAAATGTAGCATTTGAGAATCAAGCAAAACACTGAACACTGACCATTCCATGAGACAGTGGGAAAGCATATTTGAAAAGAATCTCAAATATGTCTCTTCGGCTGTGGCCTTCTTGCTTCAGTGCAAATCGCAGGTTCCTCATGTCCTGATAAACACACACACACAAAATGATTTGAGAATGTCAAATGTCATACTTTCAAAGAAGGGGATTGCTTGTCCTGCTCTAGGCAAACCGGTCACATTTCATATTCATTTTAATATTTTTGTGGAAACCCTGATACATGTTTTTTTCAGGATTCTTTAATAAATAGAAAAGTTCAAAAGAACAGCATTTACTTTTAACTATATAAATCTATTTCATTATAAATGTCGGTAACACTTTACAATAAGGTTCATTAGTTAACATTAGTTAATGTATTAACTAACATGAACTAACCATGAGCAATACATTTGTTACTGTATTCGTTAATCTTTGTTAATGCTAGTTAATAAAAATTAGGGCTGTACTGTCCCAGTCGATTAGTCGATTAATTGGTCGATACGTTCTGGTTCGACCAAAATTCTGATTGGTCGATTTTTTTGCCACGTTCATTTCATCAGTTTTGCCGCGCTCATTTCATCAGGTGGAAAGCACTAGCTAATGGGGGTGTTTTCAGAGTACCCGTGTTTCACAGGTAACAGTCTGTCTTCAGAACACCCCTCTTGTTTTCCCTTTTTTTGGATTAGCCCAACCCACTGGAGAAGAGAGACAGAACGTTATTTACTTAATTGTGAGAGCGTTTAATAGTCAACAAAGATATCGACAGTGTGGCAGCATTTTGTTGCCTTCCGCAGCTCAACGACAAAAATGACATATAATCTAAAAGCGGTAAGCTAACTTGTTTGCGTTAGGTTGCCCTGTCTGTTTTGACTAACGTTAGGCTATATGAACATATCAGAATTGGCAAATCAGTTATGCACTTTATTTCGTTTCTGCTCTTGATCTGGTTTGTTTAATAAATATTCTTTTTTTATTAAAGTGGACGTGCCTTTTGTGTTTATTAAGAGTAAAAGCTTTAAGTTAATAGTCTATTCGTGTCTCAGCCGCGAAGATGAGCTGTTCAGCCTCGCTCTGTGCGAGGACATGCACAGAGCGGCTGAAATGATAGTGTCTGACAGTTATAACTTATTATTATAACATATGACAAAAAGAATTGTCTAAATTATGTTGCATATTCCTCAACAGTCCTTGTGATGATATCACTAGTTGACAACATAGTACTATTTTCGGAAATCATAGGCTATGATATTGCGCAGGTGCACGTGATGCAACGCTGTCAGAGCCGACAGACTCGTGTATCAGACTCATTTCAGTGAAAATAATTAGGTCAAAAACGATTTAATATACTGCAAATAGCCTACTAATTTTTTTATATTGATTTATAATTCATTTAGGTGGAAAACAAGGCTACCAAGTACTGCTTGTACTTGGTACGTTTTTGAACGTTTTTTTCGTAACGTCATTTTTAGTCGAAAGTTTCAGGACTTCAGTCGACCAAGATTTTCTTTGGTTGAGTACAGCCCTAATAAAAATAAAGCTGTTCATTGTTTGTTCATGTTAGTTCACAGTGCATTAATGTTAACAAGATTTTAATAAAGTAATGTAGTTAACTAATGTTAATTAATGAACCTCATTGTAAAGTGTTACCGAAATGTCTTTTTAACTTTTGATCAATTTAATGCATCCTTGCTGAATAAAACTTATTTCTTTAAAAACCAATCTTACTGACCCCAATCTTAAGCAGTAGTGTGGTAATAAACCTAAAACCTTTTAAATGCTTTCTTTAACATTAGCTGTTATCAAATGTGGATTTCTTAGGCCTTGTGTGAGCGTTACCTTGCAGGTGATTTCTAACCCGTAGGAGTTCTCTCCTCGACTGGAGGCTCCGCCCATCTTCTCTACGCGGCTTATGACACCTAAAGGCACGTTCAGGGTAACTGGAGTCTCCTTAAGATAGGAAGTGACAAAGACAAAATATCAACAATCTTACACGCAAGTATGTACTATAAACACCTCAGAAATAACACTTTCCATTCCACACAATTATAGTAAAAGACCTGATGCATATCACACCAGGCCCGGTTCCAGAATCAAATCACTGAGGGTGCTTCTGAAATTGATGAGGGTGCTCTAGTAAAGTGCTGATGTAATGTGTAAGCAACGGCTCCACCATAACAAGAATAGCAAGGTACTTGCTGAATGATTAGCCCTTGTAATCAATCATTTTATCCTAACTTTGATCACCAAAATGACATATTTAAAAAAAAAAATTACTGTGATTTTTTAAATTCATGCCTTAAAATAGCTTGAATGTAACTAAACCCTTTCTTCATTTAGTATATGCGGATCCATGAATATGCTAATTATATCAACACTTGTATGAAATTCATAACTTTTGTGTACCACCAACTTTCTTCCTTGCCCTCACTTTGCCAAGCTGACAGTTCATGGCAACGGACCCCAGCAACGGTCAAAACGTCCACAAAACAAGGCTGCAGGTGCCCGCTACCATGTGCCAAACAAGGACAGAGCCAGAAACAAGATGAAAGCCTTTCTCTGATATGATGTGATACAAAATCCCTCCTTCCTGTCCTCTCATATCCCACTCTTTTCTCTGTTAACACAGACTAATAGATGTGTGCTATAACTAAGGTAGACACTAAAATTGTATTCAAATAAAGAATGCAGAAACAAGCCTTTAAAAGGACAAAAATGGAGGAAAACTGAAAGAAAGAAGGAAATTAATAAGATGGTTTTAAACAGAGGAGCACCTGGCATGGTCTCAGAATTACTGTGCCTGAACACTTAGAGAACTAATGCTTTGATTTTGAAAAATCAAAAATGAACGTTTCTCTTACTGAGTCAGTGTTCTTGAAGTAGAGTCTGTAGTTGGTGATGGACACCTTTCCTTTGACTGCAGAATTAAAGGGGCAGATATAGATGATCTCTTTATCTGAAGAGTAAAATAGAGAGGGAAAGACAAAATGTTGTAAACTCACATGAGATGCAGACATCTGGGGGCTGTCATTTTGAGATCACATGACCAGCATAGTACTTTAATTTTATAGCTCCCTATTATCTATTATTATTAAATACAACTGTGTGATGTGGCATTATTGCCAATATGTTGGCCACATTTCCACCACTAACTGGTCTGGAGTGTGAAGCAATGGATGTGTCCCAAATTAACAACAAACCAATAAGAAACAAATCTGCAATGTAACAACTTTACTATATAAAAAAATATATACTACTTTAACAGCCACACTGAATCGAGTTCTGGCAACATTACATTTTCAAGTGCAAATATTAAAATAGTGCATTTTAAAACACAATATAAGAAAGATATCAATCATATTAATTTTTAGTCAATGAGAGCCCACAAACACACACGATCACACACACACACACACACACAATCACACGCTCTCACTCACCGATCACTCGCTCTTCTCCCGGCAGCACTGCAACATCTGCCAGCGGCTCCATCTTTAGGCTCTCTCTGGACGCCTGTCAACACATGCAGGAACATTGAGTTGACACGGGTGCATCCCTCACACATACACACACTCTCTCATATAAGGATGATCACAACTGCTTCAACATTAATACACTACATGTCTGAGCAGACAGAACTGTACTCAGTGGCATCTGATAGGAGGAAAAAATAACTGCAGAGAAAAATCTGAAAGTGACAGGAAGTAATGGAAGAGGAAGTAGTGAAGAGGAAAATAAAGAGTCACTGTCCTCTTTCAGCCTCTGCCTGTGAACACCAGACTGATGCTTTATGTGTGTGTGTGTGTGTGTGAGAGAGATCAGGGATCCAGATTGTCTTTCCCTGGGCTATTTTCCTGCTGCCAGTTGAAGGTTAGTGAACTGGAATGCGAGCTAAGAGTGCCATTCGCTGCGTGTAGTCGTTTATTCTGCCGGCCTTTTGCTGCTGTTCAGTGTTTTGCACGTCGCAACCCTATGGGCAACTTGAAGCAAGGGCTTCTGGGTAATGGTCTAGTCCGTGTTCTCGAGATGACAAATGGAGCAGCCAAAACACACACATACAGTGATCCTAACTGGGAAACTAACCTGGTTTACACAAATAAGAGGCAGTTGAGTAAACAGAGATGAAAGACAAGGGGGAGAGACAAAAACAGCCAACTAGTAAGAGGATTAAAAGAAACACTGTTAAATACATCTTAAAGGTACAGTGTGTATTTTCTGCAACATGCATCAGCAATTGTTCACAGTCTTCTGGGAAATCAAGCCCAAATTGATTAGTTATAGTTGTTTGCTGGGAGTGAGTGAGTGAGTGAGTGAGTGAGTGAGTGAGTGAGTGAGTGAGTGAGTGAGTGAGTGAGTGAGTGAGTGAGTGAGTGAGTGAGTGAGTGAGTGAGTGAGGGAGGGAGGGAGTGAGGGAGGGAGGGAGGGAAGGAAGGAAGGAAGGAAGGAAGGAAGGAAGGAAGGAAGGAAGGAAGGAAGGAAGGAAGGAAGGAAGGAAGGAAGGAAGGAAGGAAGGAAGGAAGGAAGGAAGGAAGGAAGGAAGGAAGGAAAGACTAAGATAAAAGAGACAAACAGAGGCAATCACAGAGACAGATGGACTGTCCTTTGTACAAAATCTCTCTAGCTGTCCTCAGGGACCCTACAAAAACCGAAGAGTCGTGTTCTGCTGCCTATCACCTGCCAGGTGTTACAGCTCCACTAACATATGTATGGAGCAGCAGTCTCCTGGCTTAAGCCCCAGCGAAGTGCCAACTCCCTGTCTGCCTGGAATCCCCTCTGCCCAGAGAGGTTACATGTGCCAAACCAGACACTGCATATGCATGTGTTCACGTAGGGAGGGGCGCTCTCCTTTTAAAAGGAAACAATCTATTTAGTTTAAACCACTATTACAAGTTCCCATTTGAATTACACAGTTTTTACACATTTAGCAACATGCAATATTTGAGCTGTGCTTGCGAACCCCACCGTGGTTGTACACCAAAACACATTTTTTTTTTGCTTGTGAATGCTGTTGTACGTGAATATTACGACACGATGAAGCACAAAGGTTTGTTTACAAAATAAATAATAGGTTAGCAATTAAATGTTATATCGCAAAAAGGGAAACATTTGGATTCGTGTCGAATGAGAGTGTTACATAAATTTAAGCCATTTGTCGTCTTTGAATTCCAGTTGGCGATCAGGTCACCAGATTTTCCACGAATTTAACAATATTAGGCTACATGTGTTATTCCACTGGACATGAAATGTCGTTTCTTTTCTCATACCTTCACTCTTTTCTCAGCCATTTTCACAGGGTATTATAAATGTTTTTTCCTTTAATTTGCTTTTAATTCCTATATTCCTATGTTCCAGCCGAATTAAAAATGGCTGCGGTGACCCCGATTCTTAAAAAACCAGGCCTTGACCACCTAAATATGGATAACTACCGACCTATATCCAATTTAACATTCATGAGCAAAGTCCTTGAAAGGGTTGTTGCTTCACATTTACGAACACATTTGGATGCTAATGGTCTTTTTGAACCTTTTCAATCTGGATTTCGCCCATCACATAGCACTGAAACTGCCCTTCTTCGGGTGGTCAACGATATTCTTTTGTACATGGATTCAAGGCTGATAAACATTTTGATGCTCCTTGATTTAAGCGCTGCTTTTGATACAGTTCGCCATGAAATATTGATCTCTAGGCTTTCTGATATTGGCATCACTGGCTCTGCTCTTTCCTGGCTCATTTCATACATCAGTGACAGAAAGTATTATATCACTATACAAGGGTTTAGATCTGCCACTGCCTCACTTACACAGGGTGTTCCTCAAAGTTCGGTTCTTGGCCCACTATTGTTCATTATATACATCTATCCACTCGGTGACATCATACGCAGGCATGGACTTAAATTCCACTGCTATGCTGATGATATTCAAATATATCTCACCACCAGCTCTGATAGGCTATCTCTGCCTGACTCAGTCACTGCATGTATCAGGGACATCAAGCATTGGATGTCACTGAATTTCCTCAAACTAAATGATAAGAAAACCGAGATATTAGTGATTGGCTCTGTTGCCTCAGTCAAAAGGATGGACCAGTCCTTTGATATTGATGGAACTCACATTAAGCCATTGTCATCGATTCGTAACCTTGGTGTCTTATTTGATCAAACTCTATCCTTTGGCTCTCATATTTCTTCTCTTGTGAAAAACTCTTTTTTCCATCTTCGCAGTATTGCTCGTTTACGATCTTCTCTCACCTTAGCTGATGCTGAAACCTTAATTCATGCACTAATCACATCACGCCTCGACTATTGCAATGCCTTATTTCTTGGTCTTCCCAAAAAACGTATTGCAAGATTACAGTACGTTCAAAACTCTGCAGCGAGAGTCCTCACCTCTACTAGGCGTTCTGCACACATTACTCCTCTGCTTTATGAACTTCACTGGCTACCTGTGGCATCACGTATCCACTTTAAGGTACTGCTTCTAACGTTCAAAGCATTAAATGGTCTTGCTCCACAATATTTGTCTGACCTACTCCACCCTTACCGTCCTACACGGTCTCTCAGGTCAGCTGAACTTGGTTTACTGTCCGTCCCTCATTTCCGGTTGTCTACTGTAGGAGGAAGGTCTTTCAATACTAATGCTCCTCAATTATGGAATTCGCTACCTCTTACACTACGCAATACCTCTTCTGTGGCTACTTTCAAGACCCAGTTAAAAACATATCTTTTTAACATGCATTTTGGATAATGTGATTATATGTATCCTATGTGACTGTAATATATGGGTGTCTAAATGTATTGTATGTACAATGTAAAGCGACCTTGAGCTTCTGGAAAGGCGCTATATAAATAAAACTTCTTCTTCTTCTATATTCGGATCCTTTACTGTGGTAAAAAAGAAAAACGCTGCAGGACAGATACACTTATACTTCACTTATCAAATTATATTTAACAGTTAGATAGACAGTTTTATGGTCTGATAAAACAGACGTACCAACGCTGGTAGTTGGTCCACCACGGTTAAAAAATAAATAAACAACTGCCTCTTTTACAGCCCTATGCAATATGCGTATTATTATTATCACTCTATAAATGTACTGAATAGCTATGCTGGACTGAATGCACTTTCTGGTCTTAAAATAGCCTAGTTCAGTTGGATAGCTGACAAATAACGTGGACATCAACTTTCTTTTTTAACATCATGACCCTATGTAAAAAAAAAAAAGAAGATATATATATATATATATATATATATATATATATATTAGTGCTGTCAAACGATTAAAATATTTAATCACGATTAATCACATTAATGTCATAGTTAACTCGCGATTAATCGCACATTTTTATCTATTCTAAATGTCTCTTGATTTCTTTTTGTCCCATTATTTTTTCTCGTTTTAATGCTCTTATTAACATGGAAAAGTGGATCGGCTTGCTTTGTCCAAATGTGTTTTATTGAAAACTACATTGGCATATACTGTGTTAAATTTCACACTAACATTCTCACTTGGAGCAAATAATCTCTCACACAATGTAACACTGTCCATCAATAAAAGGGTGAAAGAAATACTGACGAGGTCCTGATATTGACGAGGGGGCGGAGAATTCGCATCAGCTGTGTGTGTGTGTGTGTGCTTGGCCATCATCAAGTGGTATTTCAGACTGGATGTGCTGCGATGTTGATAGCTCCGTTCACAACGACAAAACACACAGATCACTTTGGTCTTGTCAATGGAACCATTTGGCAACTTTTTAAAAGTAAACTTTCCATTCAGAATCTTATTGGCATCCATTTCGGCGTCTCGCGCTCGTCATCCACTCAAAACTTAACGTTAACCTACTATTTGGCCGGCTCGCAAGCCCAAACAAGTGTGTGCGGCGTGCCTGTTGTTTTGTTTCCGGTCTAGCTAGATCCGCTTGCGCTTTGGTCGACGAAGCAACAAAACGTCCTCGCGCGGCACAAGCCATTGAAATGACTGGGTTTCATATCGCAGCGCCGTGCATGCCACGTCCTGTTGCAAAAGCATGTGAAAAAAAAACTACGAAGTTTGCTAGGCCAAAAAGCTTGTTAATCACACAACAAAAAAATTGACGCCGTTAAAATGGGTTTGCGTTAACGCCGTTAATAACGTGTTTAACTGACAGCCCTAATATATATATATATATATACACACACACACACCACACACACATATATATATAAATATATATATTTTTATTTCTTTTTTGCAGTTCACTTAAATAGTCTTGTGTGTGACATTATTCACCTTATTAGTGCAATTATATAAATGCAGTTTAAAAGAGTTTAAATGTAAAATGAGTGGTGTAAATAAAACAATAACAAGGCAGCATTTAATAATAATACTCATTTTTATTTATAAAATAGTTAGTTCCAATCCTTGATTCTGATTGGTCAATAGCTGTGCTTTATTCATGATAAAACACGGCTATGACCGCTTCACCCAACAGTTCTATTCATCACTGGGCAACACTGCGGTTCCTATGTTGTTTTTATTTGAGCTTTCATGCATATTACACATTGGAACGTTGTTGCTCTTCACGGTCAGGGACTATTTTTTTCTAGCGGAAGGAAGGCTTTTAGTGATTTTACTTCATGAAAGTTGCACTAATACATATTTTTTTTACTTTAATATTTTTATTGTCTGGTAACCGTTTTATAAAAGCAATAAGGTACTCGAGGCAAGTGCTGTATCGTATGTATATGTATATGTAAGCGCTTTGCGCTTCAGCCGTTACTTATTCACGATACAGCACAGCCTCTCGTACCTTATTGCTTACTTATATAGCGCCTTTCCAACACCCAAGATCGCTTTACAAAGATAAAGGTATTGATAAAGCATAAGAATGCTATCAATGTCTCTATGTTCTATAGCATCTATATGGTTGCTTAATTCTATAGGAAAGCAGAGCAAAGGGCAGCTCTATTGACACCAGTGAAGTATATTATTTATTCATGCAGAGGCCGAAAGTCTAAACCTCCTACAACAGTTAGGCCTATAGGATAATGTAGTTTGAAAGGCAAAGAGGGGAAAATGAGTCGTAGGACATGAGGACGGTACACTTATAGCACATCTGCACACAGGCTTCACTCACGTTTTGGCTGGAGCTGTTCCCCAGAGGACTGGAGTTGTAAGGTGCTATAGGAGCTGAGGCCATCACTGGGTTTGCTTCTTCCACCGCTACTGCAAGACACAAGAGAAATGTCATTTTTCTTTTCAGTTCAACAATCAGGACTTTTTTCTGCTGGCGGGTAGTTCAGATGTGTAGACACTTATTGTATCTACATCTACACTAGACTCACCCTAAAAAAGAATATTTAGCCTAAACGTTTTCCAAAGTTTAGATGTAAATAAAAATACATATATTTTAAATTCATTTTCAAATTTTCTTAAAAAGAAAATATAGGTTAAACATCTTGTATTAGGTTTTTAAATATGACTTGAAATTACACAGCTATAATTAAACTCCACGACAGCAACAGATTGCTGGACAATAATGGTATACAGTCAGTGCTTCAAAGACTAGGCTATCACAAATCATTCTCACAATTTCGATTTCTTCTCTAAGAAGTCTCTCATGCTCATCAAGACTGCATTTATTTGATCAGATATACAATAGCAACATTGTGAAATAATTTTACAATATAAAATAATTTCCCTATATTAATATATTTTAAAATGTAATTTATCCCTGTGATGGCAAATCAGAATTCATCATCATCATTACTCAAGTCTTCAGTGTCACATGATCACTGAATCACGTAACTATGGCGTACGAGGTAGGACGTAGCGTAGGAACCGTCGTGACGTAGACGTTGTTTTGCTCTGCTCTCTGGCTGCGCAGGCGCGTTCGTTCTACGTCACGACGGTTCCTACGCTACGTCCTACCTCGTACGCCGACTTCCATCACCCGTGAACGCGCGTCGATCGTTGCCGGAAGTCAGATATTTTCATTTATAAAGTTTTAAATATGTATATTTTTACGACAAAACCGCACGGATTACCCTCAGAAGGCCTTCGTTTATCCCCCTGGAGCCGGATGGATTACTTTTGTGAAGGATGTATGCACATTTTGGGACTTGAAGGAGGTGGACCCCATTGCTTCACATTATATCCACTGAAGGGTCTAAGACATTTTCTAAAATAACTGAAAATGTGTTCGTCTGAAACAAGATTGACATATGCATCTCGAACGGCTTGAGGGTGAGTAATGCATGTGTTAAATATCATGTTTGGCCGAACTATCCCTTTAAGGCCTTTAAGCACATAAGCATTAAAGACATTAAGTTTTATTTAGCAAGCATTTAACCACTGACATCATAGATGACATCATAAAAGACCATTTACAGCCAATACAGGCAATTTACCATAGGCAATATATGGTTTTCAAAGCTTTTTGATAGTTATAGTGCCACCTAAGGTCCGATCTCCATAAAATGTTGCATGCTTCTTCAGAAATTGATTTACATTTTATCCGTCTTGGGCCAAGGATCACAGGGGTGTAAAAACCTTGATTCTAAGTCAAACGGCCTAGGAGTTATGTGCAATTTAGTACTTTTGGTTGCTGTAGCGCCACCTATGGGCCAATCGGGGTCATACTCTGATAGGTTCTCCCCAAATTGAGGCCTACCATCTGCCCAGGTTTCAAGTCTCCAGCACTTACGGTTTGGTCTGCATGATCAGTTTTACAAATCCTTACAATTACAATAGGGTTTCAGCACTTTGTGCTTGAACCCCTAATTATATTATTTCTACACATAGCGCTCTGCGCTTTGAGAGGGATGTGGGACACGAGCAGGACAAAGCTGCTCTTGACTGAAATCTTCATGTCTTCTCCTGATGTTCCAAAGCATCTGACACTTGTTGTAAAAGGTCTGATCTGAAGAGCAAATTTAATCTTCCACAGACTGTGCAAGAGCATTTAGGTTATATTCGCTGCCAGAGAAAGCTAAACTGTATTACTGGCGTGGCGTGTATGAAATGCGCTATACAAATAAACTTGACATGCCTTACCAAGTCTAACAGGCACAAACAGTGTTAAATAGAATTTGATGTGCAAGTAAAAAGGTATCTGACGTACAGCGTGTTTCTACTTTACCACAGTAAAGGATGCGAATATAGTAATTAAAAGTGAACAAAAAGGAAGACAAGTTTATAATCCCCTGTGAAAATGGGTGAGACGTGAGTGAGGATTTGGGAAAAGCAACCCAGTGTCCAGTGGAATACATGGAATAATATTGTTAAATTCGTGGAAAATCGGGTGACCAGATTGCAAAACCGAAAACAAAAATGACAAATGGCTTAAAATTACCTCACATTTGACATGAATCCAAATGTTTTCATAGTTGCATAGTTGCAATCAATGTGATGTAACATTTTATTGCTAACCTATTATTTATTTTGAATGTAAACAAAACTTTGTTCTTCCCTTGTGTCGTAAAATTCACGTATAACAGCATTCACATACAAAAAAAACAACGTGTTTTGGCGTGCCACTGCCAGTGGGGCAGTAGTCAAGTTGACAAGCACAGGCCTACTGTGATGTATTGAACATTGGTGTTGTGAATTATGCTAATTTAATTGTTGCCATGGTAAATTGGCTTTGAAATTGTTCTAAAGTGACAGTAAAAGACATTTATAATGTTAAAATATTCATCAAAGAATCTGAAGAAACATCAAGTTTTCCACAAAAATATTAAGCAGCACAACTGTTTTCAACAGTGATAATAATAAGAAATATTTCTTGAGCATCAAATCAACATATTAGAAAGATTTTTGAAGGTCACACGCAAACTAAAGCACCGACTGACAAGTCATTAAAACCTTGTATTTTCTATTAACCCGGATGTTCTCAAGAAGCACAGTTGCTGTTTCTACAGTCATCTTCATATATTTTTAGCAGAAACTACCACAGATGTGTCAGTAAGTGGAAGTGAGAGAAAACATAAAACATACATTCGATCGACAGCATTAAAATTAGCGATTAATTCACTCAGAGAGAAGAACATCCTGTCAAGTGATGCATTGAGGAGATATGTTGACAAGAGTTTACTTGATTAAATTGATTTCTGAACATTTTGAACCCCGATCCTTTGGGCATAAATTCTTTCAATTGGCCTTTTTTGTCTGAAATGTAAGTTATATTGATATAAATGAAATAATGTGAATTATTATTTGTTTAATAAACTTTTTGAAATACAAATACAAAACATTTTTGTGTTATAAAAGCAACCCAAAAACACAATCATGCCGCAAGCTTTTTAGTGTTAACACCAAAAACCCTTCAACAATATCTGACCACATCTGGACCTCAGAGAATGAAGTCACTAGCCTATTTGGGCTAAATTTACACATTTGAAATGAACAGTGATGTAGAAAACAGAACAAACCAGATCTTAGAGTCATTTGTGGGGCAAAAAATGAAGCTCAGAGGTTCAAATGAACACCTGAGGGCATGACACATGAGGTTAGCGGTCAGAGATAGAGATGTAAATGATTATAGCACCAGTCTGGGGGGAGAGAGGGAGAGAGGGAGAGAGGGAGAGAGAGAGAGAGAGAGAGAGAGAGAGAGAGAGAGAGAGAGAGAGAGAGAGAGAGAGAGAGAGAGAGAGGTATTTATAACGATGACAGGAAGGACTGATGTGGCTCTGACATGACGGGGCACATTTACACCCTTCATTCATCATGCACTTCAATATTCAGCACACATAACACAAAATCCCATAGCCTTAAAGTCGTATACAAAAGTTGATTAGCCTATATATTTTAACTTAGAGATAAGAGAAAATGAAAACAATCTGTCCAAGGCAGTTACACTTACACCTACATAAACTCTCAGCCTCCAGCGTTTCATGCCCGGATCAAACATGAAACAAGTAGCAGCTAGCTACACACTTTCACTAACTTGTGTGATGATGTGATGGAAAATCATGATCCGTATTAATCTCGCCCATATACATATCCACTTCCATTCATAGTGTCAAAACAGTGACAGATAAGGACATACACATCGAAATAAAGTTCGCAAGTGTCTAAAAACTCCACTTTCATAACTTCTAGCGCTTTCGAGTGAGGACTTACTCTGTGAATGTATTCCAGCACAGGACTGTGACCAGGAAATAGCTCGGGCCTATCTCTACGGCAGCTCTCAAGTGCTACATTTACCCCGGAGTCCGCTTCAAGCAGCCCTAAATACAGACCAGACCCTCGCCGAAAAGTCATAACGTGCAACCCGAGCAATATTGGGTTTGCAAATGTGTTTACTTACCCAGAAACTAGCAATTCTCCGTTCCTCAGATCGCCAGTCTGTTTTGCACCACCGCAGGAAGCGCTCAGCCCGAGTCACGTGACAGCGGTCACGGCGCTCATTGGCTACTTGTCAAATCTTGTAGCTACTGCAAGGAATTTAGGGAGTTGTATTTTTGATAAGAGAGGAAAAATAAGAGGGCCATTCTGAAAACATGCCCTCAAACATATTCCTTGCCATAAAATTTTAAAATATTTAAAATATTGATTTTAAATATTGAAGAAACGAAGCATCTTTCTTGATTATTTCATTACACAATTTTTTTTAATATTACATTAAAATATTTTTATATTACATTTTGGTTAATAGGCTAATAGGCCTATTAAATATTACTTTTGAATATTTTTTATTACTGTTTGAATTTGCCTGATCTATCTATCTATCTATCTATCTATCTATCTATCTATCTATCTATCTATCTATCTATCTATCTATCTATCTATCTATCTATCTATCTATCTATCTATCTATCTATCTATCTATCTATCTATCTATCTATCTATCAATCAATCTATCTATCTATCTATCTATCTATCTATCTATCTATCTATCTATCTATCATCTATCTATCTATCTATCTATCTATCTATCTATCTATCTATCTATCTATCTATCTATCTATCTATCTATCTATCTATCTATCTATCTATCTATCTATCTATCTATCTATCTATCTATCTATCTATCTATCTATCTATCTATCTTCATCAAATATGAGACCAATTCCAATTCTGCTGTAAAGCATCTCTAAAAATACATTAGTGTCATTATTCAGCTCAAGCCAGTTCAACATCCTCCTCTATGTTGTCAGTCAACATTACTTAGAAAGAACTAGGGTCAGAAATAGGGTATTTGGACAAACAGCATTTCCATTGCTGCCTGATGAACAAACAACTGTTTTTAGTGTGTTCAATCTTGTTGCCCATTTCTGTCAAAGCTGCAGTGCTGCCCCACACCATCACCCTAGTTTATCTCTTAAAAAAAAAAAAAAAAAACAGCCAGAAAAGTGCAGGCCTACAGATTTTATTTTCCTAAATAATGCCAGATCACCCGCATCTCTTTTACTCCTTTCACAAATTAGATTTTACTAGTCATTAATATTTGACACACAATTAATGTACTCTGTATTCATTAACGGCACTAAACTGTTAGTGCCTATAAAAATGCAAACTAAAGAGTCTTGCTCAGAGAGGGCTATGGCTGAATGTCGTGCAATCTGCTTCCTGCAGTGTCATAGTCATACCAATCATTCCACCAGTTCTTACAGATGGCAGTTAACAGTTCTTCATTAGTGCCTGTGTCCACCCAGCATTTTGTGGGAATTAATGGCTCTGGGATGGAACACACAGTTACACACAAGTTTTTTTTTTTTTTTTTTGCATTACTTAAGTTGTGACTTTTGGAGTGTGGATTATCAAGTTTGATTTTTGTTGTGTAGCAATAGCTTTGATCCATAACTGCATGATATATGAACCTGCAGTAGTGGAGGTAAATTTGTTAAACCACCAGCTGCTGGTGCAAAAACATCCACTTTTTATATGCAGAAGCAAAACTGCTGATCTAAAAATGAAACAGGCACAACCACAAAAGACCATTAAGAGGAACTGTACCAAAAAAAAAAGCCAATTTACCTATTTGTAAGGAATTCAAAAGAACAGAAACTGTATGTGTATCTTTAACCTACTAGAAATCAAATATTTGAAACAAGTGTTTTATATAGAGAACATTAATGTGTGGTTCCTTGAGTCCCGGATGACTCCACTGTCTTCTCACTGCATGGTAAATATATCTATTTTATACATCTATTTTAATAAGACGATAACTGTAAGAATATTATGCTTTCCAAAATGTTGGAGCAACTTTATTTTTATTTTTTATATGAACATTCTCATATTACTAGATAAGAAAATAGTGATTTAATTTCCCAAACTAAAGACTAACACTGAAGAAAATTATACACAAATAAGTTCAGCTGTGTCTTGGAAAACAACACCATGTGAGGAATCATAAAATCACGACAGGAAAGTGAAATACTTCTGTGCAAACTCCATTTTCCTCTATAGCTTAAGCCAAAGATGTAAATGAACCTCTTTACCATAATAATCAAAACATAAATAAATAGTAATAACTTCAGCCCCAATAAAGAAATGTTTTATGATTGTTCAAAACAGACTAGAACAGAAATGAAAGTGAGAAGAATAGTTTAAGAGCATATTTCCTCTCTTGAATCAATGTCCCAAATATTTCCACTTTATGCCTGCCTCGTCTTTATAAGGAGCCACAAAGCGATATACTGGCCCAGTTGTTCCAGTGTACCTATAGATCAGTCAACAGTAAGTATCTGGACACTAAATGAGGTGTGGTGCTAATATTTTTTCTGTAGTCATAAATTTGAGTCACACCACCAGTGGGAATGGAAGTAAGAAGAACAGGTATAAGAAAAAGGAGACGTGTTTGATTTTATACAGTTTATTTTCCAATCTAAAAATATGAAGACAAAATATAATAAATCACAATTAATCACAAATCAGAATGTCTTAAAGTTCATGGCATTAACTACATGGTCATGAACTACTGGAAACCCAAGACTCTGGCACAAAGGACTGTGGGTTTTATGCACTTACTGTGACAGACAGGTGTTGCTGTTGTATTAGATAATAGGTGGTGTGATCATATATTGTTGTCCCTCTGCTACTCTGAGGCTGCTGTTTCAGTGAAGCTGGTGTGCACTTACAAAGAGACATTCCTAGAAATGCTGGAAAGTGTCCTTGGTCCAGAAAACGTCAAGATCCTCATTTTGTTAGCTGGAACAGATCATTACAAAGACACTAGTGTCTAGTGTAAAATGTATTATGCTATGGCAATATGACACAATTTAGAGAACCTCTAGACTGTGCAATTGATGTCAGAATGAAATGCTGTGAGAAACATTATACTCCAAACCTCACAATTTAAAAACACAAAACAAATATCCCTCTTAAGCCAGACTGGAGTACCAGAAGTCCAGTTATGTCAAAAACATAACAAATTTTTCACCATTGTAATACATAGTATTACTCCAAAAACTAACCATACTGTCTTGCATAATACAAATTACAATAGAGTTTCCTAGTGTAAAATATTTCATTTGCAATTTTAATGTGACACTCATTTCTTTACATCATTGCATGTTTGTTTTATTTATTCTTTTGATAATTATTTACAAAGAAATTCTGAAGAATTCATCAGCAGAAAAGAAGCATAAATATGTGTACTTCTCTTTTGTATGTTACAGTTTAAGAAACCATATTTTACAAAATACTTTATGTACAGGACAAGCCCCTTTTGAAATACCCTCAAATATTCATCACAGAAATGATTTCATACACTTTTCAAATAGCAAGAATGAAAAGCTGTGCACATTAGTTTGGTCTGGCATGAGACTGCCAACAATACTGTTATCACGCTGCATTTAAAGGGGTTGTTCAACAAAAAAATACAATTCTCTCATCATTTTATTCAACCCCCATGTAAAGTATTCAATACAATGAATGTCTGTGTTGTTTTAGACCCCATTACATTTCATTGCAGGGTCTTCAAAATATCTTTTGTGTTTCACAGAAGATTTGGAACGACTTGAGGGTGAGTAAACAATGAAAGAATTTTCATTTTTGGGTGAACTATCCCTTTAACTGAATGAGAACTTTCTTGACACTGCTGGGGAAAGCCCATGTTTTCATAAAACAGTGTTTCACTCCATATTAAACTACAGTGCAAAAAGCACCGGAAGAGCAACCTTTGAGAAAAGGATGGGGCATCTTATAAGCACGTTTTATTGGCCGCCAAAAGCCATTTCAGGGGGCTCAGCAGTGCGATACATTCTCACTTATGCTAGCCATGAAAAAATGCTTTATGACCTTAAGGCCTGTTCACACCAAAGACGATAAAGTATAAAGTTTTAATAATTGTTCGAATTATATGAGCATAGGGAAGTCCACACCACAACTATAACGATAAAGACACAGAAGAGCAATATCGTAGGAATCACTCTTGGAGCGTTTATTTCCTGCGTGCGCACTTATAAAAACAGAATGTAATCTTCCATTGGTGTGGACAATATATTTGTCGTTACAGTTATCGTTTTTGGTGTGAACGCGCCTTTCCAGAATGATGGACCCACGACCTCGTTCTGGTGCTGTGTGTAGTGATTTTCAAACCTAGGAAGCTTTCAATCAGTCCCTATGAGTTTTGCTCAAGGTATTCATCAATCATGGTGAGATTGTTCAGCCAGTCTTCGTTGTTTCCCACCAGAGTGTCAATGAAGTCCACCTCCGCACCGCCACCTCCCCCGGGTCCTTGCAGCCCTCCAGTTATTGCCCCATTGCTCTGATGCTGTGATGTGTAGTCATAGGAGGGCAGCTTATGTCCGGGGTTGTAGCCCTGTGGTGAACAGTGTTTCCCTGCGGAAGCAGTCTGGTAGCTAGGAGGAGCCATGCCATGAGCTGGGTGCATCATGGATGGACCTCCTGGTTTCATAACAGCTAGAGCGGAAAGTGGACCTCGCATTCTGAGGCTCTGTTGGGGCATGGAGGAGAGAGGCTGGGCGGTGGGAATCTTCTGGTCCGGTCTGCCAACCAAACCAGGGGGTATTTGATTAGGAGGTAGACGGGAACCAGCGAAGTTGGCTGGCATACCGGTCATTCGCTGTGGAAACTGAGGACCCCCGCATCCAGGTGGGGCTCCTCCGGCGGGGAAGGGATGTTGGTGGTTCGCAGGGTCCATATGCGGTTGCACCCCTTGCTGGTGCTGCCAGAGCTGGGACTGTGACGTGGGCTGCTGCTGGGAAGGGAACATCATACGTGACGGAAGAGCTCCGGCTTGGTGCAGCGCTTGCCGCAGGTGGTGGGTCGGCACGGGAACACCGGTTAGGTTGGGACACGGCATTCCTGGTCGCGTCACACCGTGAGCCGGGTGTAGCGGTTGACGTGGAGGGCCGCCCATTCCCATCATGCTCTGGCCCGGCTGCATCGCCATTCCGAAGTCTTGAGATGGGTGGCAGAG